TTAAACCTACAATAAACACACTAATATGGGATCTTTTTGCAGATGTTGTATGACAGTTCCTGCAATTTGGGATGCAGAGGAGCGATGTCACTAAGTGGTGATGTAGATCCCTTCAGATGGTGTTACTGCACCTGTAACACTACTTGCAGTCATTTCCCCTGAATGAAACATCACAGTGCTGTCAGGTGCATGTGCTAAACTTAATTTGCTCTCTTTCCAACAAAACCTTGAAGCCTCAGTTACCACTGAAGCTCCTTCCCCCAGCCTCAGCCTGTCCTGCAACCTGCTGGATCTGCCTTATCCTGTTCTGTCTTCACCATTGCTCCCACCAGCCCATGCCAGGAATGGGGGCAGCAGCAGCAGTAGTCCTTGCATCTGGCACCACAAAGAATGCTACAGCCATAAGAAACCTTGCATTCACCAACCCCTTTTTACCATGGAAAGTAATTTAAATTTGGCATTTCTTTTTGTCTGAAATAATGTAGGAAAACCATATATGAATGATAAATGCACACAAATACTTCTTGTCTAGTGAGACAGGAGAAACCCTGCTGAAGCAGCACAGAAGGCAACATGATCTTCCCCTACCTTTTTTTTTTTTTCTTTTCTTCTTTGCATTCTTTCCAGCATATCAAGCAGAAGTTGCAGCACGCCAGAATGGCATTTCTGATTCAGTCACCCCCTTTCTCCCCACGCCTCCCTGTCAAGTCCTTTGGAGGGTAGCTGCAGGCTGCCTTCTCCTTAGCGGACGTCTTAGACTCATCCTAAGTCCTTTCCTATCAACAATCCTTGCTCCCTCCCCTGCGTTGTTAACATGTTCTATTGCTTACTTTTAAAAGCAGCCTGCTTCTCCATTGCCTAGTATCTGCAAACTAATCCATGTGTCTTGCTGCAGGGGTTAAAAACTGCCAAGAAATTTGGCATCTTGTAAGTAAATTAAAATTAAGGGGAGAAAAGGACAATTACTACTTTACTCTGTGGAGCTGGCCAGCTTTCAGAGGCATGGGGAAAAATATTTATGGGATTGAGAGAGAAGATGAACATTTCTAATAAGAATATATTTTCTATTCATTAACAAAGAAGATAACAGTGCTGATGTTTTCTTACCATTCTTGCCATGCTGGTAAGAAAACTTCTAGGAACAATACTGTGTTTAACTGCAGAAATCTAGGGTTCTGCTTCAGTATTGGGTACATCAGCTCTGGTACACCACCAGTGAAAAAAACAAGTTAAAATATATTTAAAAAAAGGCAAAAATAAAAAAAGCAAGTGCTTTTAATCATGGGATACTAAACAATCAGTGTCCTGCATGTTCTTACATATTTTTATAAAGTATGAATATTTTTATTTATCTCGAATTCTATTTTTTGGTCATTTTTTCACTTGTGTCTGCTTTTTTTTTTGCCATTTATGACTTCAGTCCTTCAACAAAAAGCCACAAGTTTTGCAATAACTACCATTTTGTTTCTGGTCTTTCTAACTCCTTTCTGGTGAGGCAGCCTGTTTTCTTTATGTTTTTTTTTCATGAACTAAGGCTCAGGAAATTCTCATATGATGTGCAACTCAGGGGAAGGGGCATCTCTGTTTATCTACAGGATGGAAATTGTTTAGCCTTTGTGGTTTCTGAAAGATGTTTGTAGACAAAATGGAGCTCAAAATACAGCCTAATCCACAGTGAAATATTATTTCTCCTTTCCTGTCAGCTTTCCTAAACCAAGATTTTGCCTTGTCTGTGAACATTCCCTTGAAGAGGGCAACTTGGATGGCTTCCATGTCCTAATTCTTTGATTTGTGGCAGCTAAGATCAAGTGGGAATAGAGCTTGTTACAGTAATCCATCAGTGGTATAACACATGCAGGAACATCCCAAGGAGGGAGACCTTGGGCGTCACGGGGAAGGTTAAGGCTATAATTTCTCTTAATGTGATTTTGTCTGGCCTTTTCAGAATTTCATCCGCTTTGGGCAGGGCAACTAGATCAGCAAACCACAGACTGAAAGACTGTGTTCAATTTTGTATGCTCTTAGACCTAAAAATTTTTTCTAAATGACAGCATTAGATTAAGCTTTCTTCCACTTTCTAAGACTGAAAAATAGAAGATTCACTTGAGAGTACACCATATATGGTGGTGTGAATTTTGGAAAATAAGGGCTCTTTTATGGTAATTTTGATTTTAGTGATTAACTTGGTCCCAATTTAAAAAAAACACATGAAATAACTTCTTAACAAAGAGAAGAAGCAGGAAATGAGAAACCAATATACCTAAATATTAGGACATGAAGAATCATTCAAAGAAAAAAAAAAACATTAAAAAGATTAAAACCTTCCAAATCTGAGAAACCAATCCCAGTGAAGGCAATAAAACACAGCCTAAACATAGGCTGTACAAGAGGAAAATCAGGAGAACAGAGATGGAATCCAAACAGCAAATATCTAAGGATATAAAACAAAACCCACAAATTCCTTTATGGTATCCAAAAAAATGAAAATATGTAGGAGGTCCTGGATCTCTGGGTATGAAAGAAACTGAGGAAGACAAAAGTTAAGGAAGGGAAGCAAGATGACTTATTTTCGTCCAACTTCACCACAGAAGATGTTGGGGAGAAACCTATTCTTGGTACCTTTATTTTATTTTATTTTTTAATAGACATGAACTAATAGCAAGCTTCGAACACTTGCTAGCAGAAACAAATGTGTTAGAGGAGGATGATATCTTACAAAGCAGTAAACAAGCAGAAGACAAGAATTTTGACAGCAATTAAAATAAAGAAATTGAGCTACTGGCTAAAATGAGCATGCTTCCACTACACTTAGTAACTTAAAGAATCAGAGGATAGCAAAAGTTTCACCTATCTTTACAAAAGCAGCAACGTTGATTCAGGAGTCTGTAAAGCTCCAAGCTTTATTACTATACCTGATGACCTGGTTGAAAGGATGAATAACAGGAACTTAAATACATTAAAATAATCACTAGTTTATGAATATGTTTATAAAACAGTGGACAGATAAGAGCAAGTAAAGAAAATGAGACTCAAAATCATTACAAGAGCCTTATGGGAGGTCACCTGTGAAGTGTGAGGTTAAGGGAGCAAAGGAGAAGAACGAATACATATTGATTCTCATCTGATGATAGGATTAACAGCAGGTGTCTCATGGTTTGTATTTCAAAGCTATCTGGAAACAAGAAAGCACACTGATAGGGTAAAATCTACAGATGGCAAGAAATTATTCAAATTAGTCCTGAGCTAAGATTATAAGGTGTTTAAGAGATAAGCAGTAAATCTGCTCCAGCAGATCATGGTCATTACTGTGGATGTCAATGAAGTGCACACTGCACACAGTATGAGACGCCTCTGTGCATCAGGCTGAGTTCTGAATTGCCCGATCAGCTCAGGAGGCTAACTGGATGTCCTTGCGCACTGCCCAAAGACAACTGGTGTCAAAAGGATAGCAACAGTCAAAAAACATGAAGAAAACCTCAGGACATCTAACAAAAGATAGCACAAGCAGAACAGACAAACACAGTAGCACATAATATTTATAATGAGAGGCTGGAATACTGTATTTGCTATCGTTTGACCCCTTCTGAAAGGTAAGATGGAAAAAAAGTAAAAAAAAAAAAAAAAAAAAAAAAGAAGATGTAGAAGGATTATTTGAGACTTAGACAAGGATCTGAGCAGCCTCGTTTAATTTGGTCTTGAACTGAAAAGGGTGTTAGACCAGATGACCTTCAGAGGTCCTTTCCAACCTAAGGTATTCCATGAAATAGAGAGACAAAAAAAATTTTGACGGTTCAATATATTCAGACAGTAAATCCTAAAATTGGTAAATTCAACAGCAGACAAAATTAGATTATGAGTTCACTGTCCCAAGAACTGTGCTAGGAGCCAAAATAAAATTTGATTTTTGCAGTTTTCTAAAATTTGTATTATGTAGAGTCCTCTCCATTCCAGTATCCCTTAATATCCAAACAAGGTGGCTTTTGGAAAATAAATCATTCCTCCATTTGATGAATATAATGAGTATTATGGCTCATGAAATAAATTTTTTCTAGGAGAGATCCTCCTCCTTCTCTTTTGAAGTGTCTTGTGCTCTCCTCTCAAGCAACTGGTATTGGCCACTATCAAAATCAAGACACTGGACTAGATGGATACTAGTATTATCTGCTGTAATTATTTCCATTTTTAGATGAGACATGACTCCAAACCAGAATTTTCATATTTGTTATCTCCTGATGATATTCTGTCATGTTTATTCCATTAATCAAGTAAGGTACTATTTTTAAGGGTCATCCATGAAATCTCACACTCTGAAAGTTCCAAGCGTGAGGTTATAGTGTTTCTATCATTTCTGCTAGCAGCAGTAAGTAATAAATAATCTGTGTACCAAATTGAGCCATTGACCAGACCTATGCATTAGCCAAAGGATTATCACTTTTTAAAAGGAGGTGCTGCCAGAAGTTTCCTTTATTTCTATTTATCTTCCCTAACTCCTGATCATCAAAATTATTGTCAGGAGGAGGACAGAAAAGGAGTTAAATGAAATTTTTCAAGGACACTTTCATTCTGTAAACAGTCTTATTACCAAAAAAGTTCATTCCTTCCATTGCCCTCAAAATACAACCAGGCATCTCCCTTAAAAAAGATTCCCACAAACCACAAAATAAATATATTTGAAGATACTGATCAAATAAAGTTTTAACCTGCAAACAGTTCCTAATAGTTATATACATTAATAATGTTATATACATTAAAATGTCTGTCATAATGTGGTTGCCTGTTAGAGCATTGATGATGAAACCACCTGACAGGCAGAGATAAGTACTGGCAGAGAGAGAGTACTGGCATCTTTGAAATTCAGTGGGAATGACACAATGAATCCACATTCATAAAAAGTACTGTGACCAGGGAAGAATAGAATCAAATAAAAAAAAACAAATCTTAAATATTTCACTTTAAAGAGGGTTTAAAAAAACTTATATATATTTATCTACAAGACATACCTTGGCTGACCTAGTGATGGCCCCTATCTCTGAATAAAGATCAGTGCTGTCTGGGAACTTTTCCACCACCATAGTGCAGACATGGTGCAGGAGGGACTGCTTGTGCACCGTGTCCTTGACTTCTGGAACCTTCTCGAGGTAGCTCAACTCAAAAGCTTTGACCTGTAGGGGTAAAAAAAAAGCAAAGAAATTAAAACCAAGAATATTTACTCCTTCTCATGCAGATTAGTAGACAAAAATGATTGCCAAGTAGGGACAGAGGGGAAAGAAGAATAAGAATCATACAGAAGAAGCAGTTTACTGCTTTTATTTATTTTTAACATGCTGAAGAGTAGGCCTAAAATTAGTCCATCTGCAGTGAAATGACTCACAATACAGTTGCTAAAATGTAAATGGGGACCACAAACACTAAACTCAAAGGAGTTACACCAGAAGAGTGCACAGCTCTATGTGTCCTTGAGGTTACACTAAAAGAGGCAAAGAGCACCCCGACACACAATAAAAACAAAAAGTAGATTCTGTTTTCTAAATTACTTTTCTGGTACAAAATAAATACTAGGTTGCAACTGTCATAATGGTTTCGACTTGTTTTTTGAAGGAAAAAGCTGCAGGGGAAATGCTGGGACATCAAGCTTACGTTGGTTCCATTCAGAAAGTTCCCGATGGCTAGCAGAGTAGAAAGGATAAATCCCAAAGTTTTATTGTGCTCCAGTTGGTCCATTCCTTCCTTCAGGTCAAGAAGTGGTTCTGCAACTTCCTGCCATAAGAACAGAAATAAGGAAGTGAAGGCTGCAGTTTGGTATAGCTGCTTTAAGTTTTTAATTCTATGGTTTAGATTAATTACTGCGAAAATTCCTGAACTGGCGTCTTGCGGAGTGCAAACTAGCCATGTGTGCTGGCTTTCTTCCATGCTCCAGCTAATAAATCACATGCAAGGACAGCAAAAAAATACATAAAATACTTTCTTTATGTATGCAATTGCCTTCCTTGTCCTGGGGATTATTCTGTGATTCCAAACAGGAGAGAGAGAATCAGAGAAGGGGCTGCTGCATTTGAGTTAGATGCATGAACATCTCCTTACTCCAACTCATAAGAAGCTATTCTTTCTAATCTTTGAAAAATAAACAAAAAAAGTTAGAACCCTGGCTGACTTGACATTTGCAGCCTGACCCTGAAGCTTTCTTCAAATGATGGCCACCTCTGAGTTTTAGACGTGGTTTTGTGCTTGTGTGACTTTAAAACTGACCCCCCCATCCCCTGTAAACATCAGGCTTTGCAAGTGTTCTCATTTTAATCTTTTAACTTCATGCATCTTCCATCCACACATGTTATCTGAGTATAGGTATGTAAACTGATAAGGCTTGAAAACATAAATTCTGTTCCATTACCTCGGGAAGTGAACTACACCAGAGAGTTCAAAGGAAGACAGAGAGGGTAATTGAGTTGACGGAGTTTATTTCAGTCTTTGTGAAAGGCCCAGGGTTATTTATTTTTTATGCACAGTAACAGTTCACATTGTTTCTCTCTCCAAATGCCATCCTAAGCATCCATGAGCAGCATTCTTTTCCCAAATTATTACCCACTTTATGAGCCAAGAAGCCAAAATTAAGCTGTTATTTTAGACAAAATAAAAAAAGAGGCAAAATATCTGAGAACTTTACTTTCTTGGAGAAATGCAATGGGTCATGCTGTAATTGCAGTAATATTTTACCATAAGTAAGAGCACAAAGATGAAGACGACGTACATTTCTAGTCACTACAGAACAATTAATCTGGCAGATACAGCAAACAATAGACAGATTAAGAGATGGCATAGTGAGTAAAGTAATTTATACATCAGAGGAGAGGTGCTAAATAATCCAAGACTTTATCAAGTTAAACTAAAATCAATGAACTTCTGTACAGAATTCTTAAAGTCAGGGTTTGTTTAGTTTAGTTTGTTTAGTTTAGTTTGTTTAGCTGCACTGTGGGCATAAATCAAACTGCTCTGCATCTGATGTAAACACAGGCTTTTGAACTATTTTAATTGTATCAATTTGCAACCTGTCAAAAATTTAAAGCATTCTGAAGATGAATAAAAAGGTAGCATAAAAGGCTTCCAAAGCAGGCCATACTGTAGCCCTTCATTTAACTATTTACTTGCAAGTTATCCAAGCTTAGACTTTCTTGCGTGTAGTATACATTTATAATTACTCTGCATTTTTTATTTTATTGTAGCATGAAAAAACAATAAAAAAGTGTGCTAGATACATAAAGTCAGATGAAATATCAATTCTTGCTTCCTATAAAACTCATCTTATACCTAAATATCCTTACATACCACATATCCTTATTTACCATGTTTTTATTTTTCACCTAAAAACTATGCTTGAATGAAATTTGTGGATTGGTCCAGAATTTCTGGCTGTGAGGCATTTGATAATGCTTGATAAATGTTTGATGCACATGCACAAATGAACCCAACTATATGTGTGCAATGAATCCAGTGGTACTGGGACAGGGAGGACGTAGCTGATATGGCATAGGCAGTATTACCAATCTGTTATACTGGTAATAAGTTTAGCTAACTGCACCCATACAAGTTCATGTGCATGCTTTTCTGGGAGAGCTAGAAACTTGTTTGGGATGGGAACTCTGAGATGACCAAAATGTAATTTGCTGTATTTATGTTTAACCAAGACTGGCCTGCATAAAGTATCACACCCTTTTAAAACAACAGAACGTATTAGGATCATACTGTAAAACTTAAAAAGCTCTGAGAGTTTTTAAATTATTAGACAGTTTAAGCATCACTCAAAAATACAATCTTTTTAAACACTTATTTCTCTTAGCACACTGTCTCCAGGGAGACTAGAGTCAGGAGTAATATTTCAGCTCAGAAGAGAAACTGAATCAAGCCTTTTTCTTTACTAGTTCTACTTTTTTCATTTCCACACCTGCTTATATTCATTTATAATCCTTGAAAGTTGTCAGCAATAAGGATATATTTGCTCACAGTGACTCTAAGAAAAAAAATATCTGATTTAGGACAACTAAAGATTCTATTTCTCTTTCTAAGACCTTTAAACTCCCTTTAGGATAAGGAAATTTGCATCATAAATAGTTCAGTACAAAGAACTAGTGGTAACACAGTGTTTCAAGAACAGAAGAATATTAGCAGCCATGGGACTCTTTATTATCATAATCATTAATACAAACTACTTTATTTTTACTTTTTAATATGCTCATGGTATCTTATTTCAGTCTAAATAACTCTTAGATTTATTGGTTACCTGGAACTTAAACTCCGATTCAGCCTTTTGTTACTGGAGAGACCCAACTGCTCTCTCTCTTGTATCTCTGATGTCTGATCCCATATCTTCCTTTTCACCACAGCTAGGACCCCAAGCTGCCATATCTATGCTTGTCTGCTAGGCTTCTTATCCCATGCTCCTCTTATTTTATCAGAGTTATCATATTTCATTTCCTGTACCATTTTATGGTACTGTACGTAGGCCTATCTACCTTTCAACAGGGATAAAATATTTGTCCTGTTTTCACTCCAGTTATTGCTTCTTCGAGTAAGTTAGGTATTTGAGACATTTTATACTAGCACCCATTCTGCATGGATTTTAGCTGGCAGTTTATTAACTTTGTGGTATAAACATTATAGGATAAGCAACAGGAGAGCTATGAGAATTTCTTTAGCTTTTAGCTGTCTTCAAATGTTACCTTCTCACTGAGAGGAAGCGAGAAATTCTAGGTATACATATAGATTAACAGCTACAGCTAACTCAGTTTACATGAAAGGAACAATTTAGCCATGTAGTAACTTCAAAGCAGAATAAATAGCTGTCCCAGAGGAAAAAAAAAAACACCCAAACCCAACTGGAAAAAGGGTATTCAGGCCAGACACAAGTATTTTATGTTTTACAAGTCAGAAATGTAAATGTCTAAGACTAAAATGTCACTATTAAAAAATCCTGAATATTAATATTCTAAAATCTAAGCAAATTAAGCAAAGGTTGAGTAATCTTGACAGTATCATCTGCAAATCAATCCACTGTTGTATAACTTGTTAAATAACAATGGCTAGGTAAACATAAAGCATTTTCAGAAGCATGTCCCGCTTCTCAGAATCTGTATCATATAAAGATATACCAATCTTTCAATATGCACATAAGTACACAGGTACACAGATAAAACGAATATATACAGGAGAGCTGCCGGATGAGCAATGCATGGGGTATGCACCAGAAGTGCAGTCAGAAGGTTCCTGTGCTAAGATTCCTGAAAGAGCTTGTGAAAGTCAGAAAGTAGCTGAAATTGCCTACACAGTTTCATTCTGATTCATCTTTGCATCAAAATTATATGCTGCCATTTTGAAATTTTTGTCTGTGATTCATCATTCATGACAGACAACCCAATTATACTGTTCTCTGAACAAATTCCATCCATGAAGAAGGTGGCAACAACCGTCTGTGACTGAATGGAACAGAACATCCCTGAAGGGTGTCTTATCTTTTGTTTATAACTTTGAAAGAGAGTTATAAACAGAGAAAACTTTAATGGATGGTGTTTTCCTTAGTTCAAATGGATGTAAGATCAATACTCTCATTTTACAATGTAAGGCTGAATACTGTAGTCCTCATCAATCTTTATCCAAAGAAAAATTCTTACTGCTCTGAAGTAAGAATTTCCTGAATACCATCTGGAGAAGGTGTGGTAAGAATTTAGCCCTCTTCTTTGTTTCAATACCATTACTGACTAATTAAAGGAAGGAAGACATAATCTCTAATTTTCTTTCATAGAAGGAACAAATTATGAAAGATTTTTCCTGTTTCCTGGCTGGCCACCAAAACAAAAGCAATCCACTTACCATTTCCTCAAAATATACGCTCATATAATAACAAGGTCAGGGAAAGATTAAGCAAAACCTCAGAAGAGTCCCCACCCCTGCCTCCCTGCTTTCCCCTCACCTTTTCCACTATCTCGTAGTCCATCTTGAAAGCCCAGAGCTGGAGCCTGGCGGAAAGCTCGCTGATGGAGGAGAGCGTGAGAAGAAACTGCTCGGCACTGCCCAGAGGGACATCAGGGTTTGCCAGCTGTGCCTCCTGGATCTTTTGCTTCTCCTCCTCGGTCGGGATCATGGTCAGGATTTTCTGTGAAGGGAGACAAAAGGCAGGCATCAGCAGCAGGGCCGAGAGATGTGCAAGGGCTGGACACTGGGTGACTTCACAGCAGCAACAGTAGAAGTCTTCAAGTCCCTAGCTGGTAAATTAGAACAGCACTGTAGTAATCAAGAACTAACCCACTGCACAAGAAAGCAAAACAAGGCCTGCTATCTCAAACAGTAGCAGTTAGTTGAAAAACACATCTGTATCAAAATGCTTTTAGAAAAAAATTTGTGCTCAGTAGATATGGTTAATCATGGGATGAAACACTGAAAGAGACACAGGGAGACTGGATAGGACTGCTGTCCTCAGCTTTCATATGTTTAAGTCAAAACTGGCCACATTTCTGCAAATTACATGCAGAAGTGAGGGTAGGAGAAGTGCAATTTTGTGGCCTGTGATTTACAGCAGGTTAAACTAGATATTAAAGTCTCTTTTAGCCTCAGTATTTATGAATCTTCCAGCACACTTGTAGGTATACAGAAAGAACTTGAGGGCTCCTGTCCCTTGCTGTTCTCATAATTTATTACTTTTTGTTCAGTCTGTTTTGTCTTTTATGCAACATGACAACTGTTGCAGCTTATTATGTCACTCCCAAAAATTTCACCCAAACTGAGGACAACTTCCCCAGGAACACACATTGAATTTAACATTGGATTATGCATTACATAACATATGGCCTTTTTATCTTTTGATATGAAAAGTCTGAAATATTGATGAAAAAGGATTTCCATATTTTAAGTGCTGTCAGCATGGCTCAAACCTTTTAAATTTTCCCTTTAATTCTTGGATTTTACACGCTTGTTTACATGTGGCAGCTTTCCTTCTCAAAGTATTGCTTTCTAAGGTATTGCTTCTTGATTAGTTTTTAACATAATAAATGCATTTTAAAATCAAAAAGAAAAGCAAAACAACATAAAGGCATCAGATAAGTTGAGGTCTTTACCCTGTTGATCAATGCCTCATTAAAACAAAGCAGTAGATTTTCATCACAACTTATGTTTATACATCTGAGAAATTACATGTTTTTGCTGTAGTCTTCCATGATAGCAGCTGTTTTGGAGGGGAGGAGAGAATAATAAAAATACAGCCAAAGAGCTATCAGACCTGCCAATCCAAACTACAGTCTTGTTCCAGCACTGGACATAGCCAATTCATCAAAGTAGCACAACTGCCCCCTTCCAGTACTGATAATTCATCTGGCTCCTTGTACAGCGCTGGAGCTAAGCATGTAGAGCAAGGGACTTTTCCTGGTCTATCAGGCAAAGAACAAGAGTTAAGCAAGCAACTAATGTTCAATTTGTTGAACTGGGACTTATTTAATTTCAGCCACAGAATTTGTATTGCTGTCATCTTGTTATGCTGACTTCCATAAACATAAAGAAGCATTTTTTTCTGGAAGTGCTGGCTCTGACTTTCAGTTAACCAAAAAAGAAAAGCCTCCTTGCTTGGACACTGCAAGCTTCTACCTTAATAAATTAATATCCTAAGGAAAAAAGAAGAAAAAGAAAATCCCTCAATATACTATGATGATTTTTCTTCCCCTGTCAACGACTGTTTGGAAAATATTCTGATGTAGATATGTTTTGATTGATAGCATTTGATAGTATTGTTTTTGAGATGTGCTATCCATCCATCCATCCATCCATCCATCCATCCATCCATCCATCCACCCACTCTGAAATCTGTAACTTAGGTCATACCTAATATCAAACTAGATCTATAAGTAGCTGCTTCAGGGTATTTTTCAGGGCTTAACTGATAATTAACTAAAAAAGTTAATAAAAAAGAGAGATTGAGTCTGAAACTCATGAGAAGAGCTGTTTTGCAGTATCCTTTGAAGAAGTCAGGCCTCCTTGTGCCTGCCTCTCTCTTCAACAAGAAGCCAACACCCCCTCAGCTGAGCCAGGGCAGCTTCCAAGTAGGATCATATGAACACCCATACATGGGGAGTTCAAGCCGTAACCATGTGATGGATGTAAAAACACTTCTGATGCATTTTTGAAGGCTAACACTTCAGCAGTATTCTCAATTACCTCCTACAAATAACTAGGACTTTTGGCAGTTACCCAGGGATCCCACAAGTATTTTGTGGTGGTGCAGGGCCTTCACTCTAGAGATTTTGCACAGCTTTTGGGCATTTGAAAGAGAGCAATGAAACAGCAAGCTTTATTTCCAAAGGGACTCTCCTCCTCCTCGAGCTTTATGTAAACACCACAAGCCAGATGGAGCTGACAAAAAGCATTCGAGTCCAAGTACTGCAAGGCTGCCGTGCTGCATATTGTAGTATGTGAAACAGAGAATGTCAAGTGAAAGCGCCTGTACTTGTGGTGTCAGCTGCTGAGGATCACCCCTGGTGCTGAAAGCCCTTCCTTGATGGGATCAGAGCTGCTGGCAGGTCTCACACCATCCGGGGTGCAGCTGCCCCCATAACAACGACCTACTCACTGGCACTTCTAATCTGCTTGGGAAAATCATTCTGATCCTGCTGGTCATCACCCTTGGTGTGTCCCTGAGCAAGTGGTGAAATACTCCTATTCTTCATTTCTCTAGGACTCTATGACTAATTTGAGCCATTTGTTCAGCACTGGAAAATGATGAGTGCACCATCTTCCAGTTTATTATTATTATTATTATTTTAATTTTTATTATTTTTTAAACATCATTGACAGTAAAGTAGCATAAAAACACAGCAGGGCAGAAGGTTACTGTCAGTTGATGCGACCATTAAATCACAAATAGGTTTGAATCTAATCATTAGTTCATAATGCTCTCCCCAGTACAGCATTCTTCAGGTTGGTTAAGGAAAAACTGGTTAGTAATAAACTCTGTGCTCATATCCTCTAATATGTGTGATACATGTATTTCACCTCCGTGCATTCTCACACAATTGTTTGGGCCAGACTAACATTCTGAGGAAAACCAGTGCACAAACCTTTTCATGGGGGAAAAGAAGTAATTTTTGGAGATCCTGTTCACATGAGATAATGGATCCTACTTACTCTGCTCCTGGACTGCTGGACCCAGCCACTTGCTTGAACTTTCAGCAAAGGCATCAAACTGCTTATTTCCTGGACGTGGCCATCCTGACATATGATTTCCAAAATTTTCTGAGAGGAAAGACTACAGGCCTCAGTGTGGGATCAAGGAAGCACCTAACCAGAGACTGTGAATACCCTGGACCCTCTGCAGAAGTTAGCTGCTTAAGTTATTGCTTTCAAGAGATAATGGGGCTTCTCAGTGATGATGAGGGAACGGGGGTGCCTTGGCTTTTGTATTTGGTTTCAGCTGATTTTGCCAGGCAAACAGAAGACTGAAAAAAATAAGTAAACTAAATATCTGATGGTTGTTGGGTCCAAAGCTTTCCGTGGCTTGAGGCCCACAGATTTGTAAGCTACATAACTAAATACACATTAGTAGGTATTTATCAGATATTTGACAGGCCTGGGCAGACAATTCAGCTCCAAAAAGGCTCTTAAACTTTAGTTTTCCAGGCAGCTATTAATGAGACACACTGGTGGTTTGCATTACCTGCAGAAACTCTGTCAAAACATAAAAGCATATAATACGTGAGGCTTCCTGCACTAATTTTATTTCAGCTCTTCCAAAACCGATCCAATTCTGAGAACTGTCTACATCCAAAATGTCTGATAGTCATCCCTGTAACTCAGGAACTGACAGCCGTTGCCTCAGTCAGACTGCTCCACTTCCTCAGCTCTCTACTGAAATACATGAACATGCCATTCCTGGTCACAGAAATCAGATGTTTTGGTTTGTTCCAAGGAGTGGAAGTGTAGCTTTTTTTTTCTTTAAATGAAGTCTGAAACTCATTAGCGCAGTGCTATGATGATTGTGCGTGTATGGCCGGCAAGACATCATTAAGTCCCTTCTCTCTTCTGCCTAGACTTGTGGAAAGAGGTGTCCTTTCTTCTTGTGTGAGCTAGCATCATTTGAAACATCCCACCACACTTTTCCAAAGCATTAGCTAAACAAATTGGAAACTGAAAATGTCAATGTACTGTGGCAAGTATCAGAACAAATACTTAAGTACCTTGATCATTTCCAAAAATCAAATTATGGTTTTTGCTTATGCATGTCACCATCTGCCTTTTTAACATCAGGCTCTCATTTCTTACCCCTTTTTACATCTCAGGACTACCTAGCCACTCCAGACCCTTGGATTTCAAATTATTTAACAAATGTGGTTATGGAGGATCTAGCATACCTGGAGAGTTTTTAAATTTCAAATAGTTTTACTAAAAGCTATACCTACCAGTTCAATCAGTATCGTGTAGCATCACAAAGCTACACTGTAAAGCACAAAGCGACACACCTTAATTTCCTCACAGCACTATCCTGATTTTACTCTGCTAAATTAATCATACTCTTTGGTAGAATTTGATTTTGATCCACATTCCCTTACTGAGTAGCACTTTACAAAGGGACCCACTTATTTTCTTTACCAAAGACAAGCACCAAGGACTGGTTTGGTGGACTGTATTCTTGCAGTTGCCTATAATACACTTCATAAAAATTAGGTGCCAGGATTTTAAGCTTGCCTCTCTTGCTTAGCTCACAGAAAGCCCTCATCCATGCTAAGCAGGCAGTTCTTTATACTGCAGTGAGCTCCAAGTTGTTTGAACACAATGAATGCCGAGCTTTCAAAGAAAGTAAAACACAACCACTTTGGCAAATGTAAGGTGGCAAGTATTTTTTTAGTTGGATTGACACATGCTTGCAGACACACACTGTGCATTCCTTTGAAAATGCATTTCTAACAGGGCCTGCTCTGCATACTAAATAGACTACATCTGCCTTTCTAGCACCATGCCCGCATTTTCTGCTCTTTTTCACAGCTCAGGGGTACTATCACTTCAAACACATGGCCTAAAAATACACAACATAGATAGGTATAGAGGGCTTTAAAATATCCGGAGAATTTTTTCTCCTATCATAGCTACATATTTGAAATTAAAATCAAAGTATGGATTACTAGCAAGAGTTCAATGTCACAAACAAAGCAGCATTCAGCAGAATGTAGGACAGTAGTGGAGGGTTTACTGGGTCACTAGGAACTTGATGATGATTTAGGCTATCACACTGCATCACTGCCTTGTTGCTAGCACTACTGTCAGCACTACTTTAGTTCACTGTCTTTACAGGAATTGCTAAGATCAGTTTTAAGACACCATTTAAATTGAATTTATCCACCAAGGCAGAGAGCTAACATGCATGCTAACACAACAGTGACAATGCTCCGCAGTGAAGAACATAGCACAGAGCTCACAGCCAAGGCAAAGGATGGCTCAGGTGACTTTTTACCCTGTTGGTGCCTTGCTCTGTGTTGGATCCACTAAAAGCTGAAGATGACCGTAAACTACAGCTTCTCTAAAATTTTAGCAGCGCATGTTATGTCCTCACCACATGCATTACAATTCTTCATCTGCTCTCCTTACATCTCTCTCTTCTGCCTACTAGATATGACATCTCTTCTAGGCAATTAACTATGCAGAAAGGCTTTTGAGTGTCCACTGTGATGCAGTTTTTTTAACTAGATTAATTGCATTTCTTTTTCCATACCAGTTCTGCCTCGTTCGACCCATAGGTTAGCTATAAAGTATATTATATAGAAAATAATTTGCTTTATTCTCTGTGTTTCTATATAAATGAAGGTGATTCTTACACTATTACTGATTCATTCATTGTCACTACGGATTATTTCCTAATATTTAGGAACTGTAGGTATGAATCAGAAAACTTTCAAAAAATCTAGACTGAAAAGACAACCCCTGTTCCCTCTAAGCTAACTCTACGGCTAAAGCCAATGAACAGATGGATACAGAGGAGAAACAGGAAACAAAGCTATGATCTATGCTGTAGATCAAAGGGGCAGTATGGAAAACTGAGGCAGGGCTCTGCTAAAAACAGTGGGACTCACAATGATGCATTTTCATACCTCTCTGTGCACCTCTTGGCCAATTCTGCATAGCTTAATACAACCCTCTATGTCACTATAAACGTCTGTCTTGACAGTGTGCTATAAGAAAAATCTGTGACTTTGGGACTGGGGAAGGGAATCTGATTTTACCTGGTTTTACCTGATAAGAAGTAAATAAATATGGAACATGCAGAAAAAACCCTCTTTTCTCAATGAACATCATCCTTCCCAAACAATGAAGGCTTCATCCCTCAAGGTGCAAAGTGGCTGAGCTCCACTCCACTTATCTATTCTCTTGATTTTAAATATCTGAATTATCACATCAGGATTACTCACATCCTTAGCTTCAAGCTGTAGACAAAGAACTCAGAAATTCCATTTTCTTCAGCACTGGGCAAATATATCAACAGTATATCATTTCCTGGTTTCTGAATTCTTCAATTTGAAAGCTACCTGCATATATATTTCAAATTAAATTATGGGTTTCTGGTAGCTAATGGAAGGGCCACCCAAAGGAGGGTGGAGTGGTACAAGACACTCACAACTGTGGACTCCACAGGTGGTTGGCAGATGGACAGCCCAGCTACAAATGTTGGCACTGGAAAGGGTGAGCTGGGCAGAGCAGCTGAACTTCTGTTAAGCATGTCAGAGGACACAATTCAAAGGAGATGATACATGGAAGATAATGAAGATGTGTCCTTTATCAGCCATTTCATGCTGGACTTTGTATGGAAACTGCCTACAGCACTGAGATCTAACTGTTGGTCTGAGAGTTGGGCTTTGCTGGAGAGGGATTTCTCTCCAACACTTCAAAGCTTTGTACTGCAAACTGCAGTGGTGAATACATTGTCTGGGTCATGAAAAATTACTTTTCTAGCCTGATTTCTCACTTCATAATATGAGTAGTAGCAAATAAGTAATATAGATTTGGGAAGGAATTATATTCTAATAGGGATAAATCAGGCCTTGCCTTCTAGCTAGAACTATCTTTTGCCTTTTAAGTATTTCTTTTGCATGTAAGTGTTGGCAACTCCGTTTCCATTCCAGCCAGCTTTTCTCGTTTTCTTCTGTAGTCAGCACAGTGAAGGTGGAAAGGGGGAAATCATGAAACACACCGCCAAACCACTGAAAGGTGACTGTGAGTCAATACATGACCTCTGCAGCTCAGCCACTGGTTGAGATCTGTAGTCGTGCAGATTGCTCTTACTAAATGATATAGGCTTATTAAAAAGAGATTTGAAATGAATACAGCCACAATGAAAAAAACCAGGGGAGCAGCAGGCTTCTTTTACACTTCATAGAAGAAAAATGTTTTGATAAAAAAATAATAAACAGAGCTCATCTTGGATCTTGGTAAGAATATCTGCAAAGTCAAACATGTAACGGTAAAAATTACATCATCTGTAATCTTTATACCAACTGCTTTTCTTCAAACAGCAGTAACACAGAAAGGCTATTTTGAGCAGAACTAGTCACTGTATTTGTTTTCCATTAGATATACAATCTAGAATGACTCCAACAGCTATCTGGGCATGACCTTTATTAAACTCTGTACCAGTTGCATCAGCCCTAGTAACTCACTACCTATTCTTGCTGCTCACAATATTTTAGTCAAGCTTTAGAGGAACAGATAATACTCTGAAAATCTTGACAGGAATTAACACCTCAAACAGACACAAAGCAAGCAGAGGATCCGCATTTACTGAGCATGCCCAACCTCAGGGAAATACTATATGCTTCTGAGCACGCTGCATTGATTCAACCCTCAGGCATGATACAATACATCCCATTTTCCTTCTTCCTTGGAAAGACTGGCCCTGTACCATGTGCAACATCGAAATAAAAGGTAACATTGAAAATGCAGACCTGAAGACATTGACTATTCTTACTTACCTCTATTCCTTCCTTGTTTAAGGCATATTCATCAAAGTTCAAAATAGCAGTCTTGATAGTGCGGGGAGGGGGCAAAACAGTCAGGCCAATATTAATAGCGTTACTTCGTTTTGAGTCCAATACAATGATCTCCTGTCGCTTCCCATCTGCAGCAGTTTTCTTGGTAAAGAAGAGAACAAGAATATTATTTCTCCAGCCTGTTTTATAAAGAAAAAGCCACTCCTTTCACTAATGACTTCCCTTACTCAAGGGTGCTGACATTGAATATAAATCTAATTCATTTATAGTCATCCAAAAAAGCTGAATTCTTCTACCACATCCTTGCTGGTATCAGTGTGAGCTGCCAGGATTTAACCAGAGAGCTGTACACAGTCTCAGATGCTGTGCAAAGTGAGCTAGACTGAGACGCAGAAGTTCCTGAAAGGGCTAGGATTGCTGCATTTTGGGGCAGAAGTCAGTCTGAAAAAAATCCTGACGTTGTCTCTGTCAGGTAAGATGTCTGCTGTGCAGCAGGACTGGCTGGCACAGGGCTGGCAGGGCAGCAGCCACACAGCTGATGAGCTCTGGGGCTCAATTCCCCCTTGGATGCATCAACCCAGAGTGGCCACCAACCCTCTCTTGCCTGCATGGCTGGCTGGGAAAGAGGCAGAGTTGGTCCCACCTGCCTGCCAGCACTCTCCTGTCATATAAATCTACCTTGGGAACTGGCAAACAAGCTGTAGAGGCCTTTCTGGAGAAAACTAGCTTGGTTTTCTGACCTCTGGCTGCCAGAGGAAGGGTATTCTACCTTACTGCTCATGATACGTCCATCAAGCCTTTCACAGGTGCAGAACAATTTAAACCCTTCTGCTTTTTTCCAAGTTTTATTTGAGACTAGACATAAGTATAAATAATAATGAAAGCACAAAGAACTAACAACATACACTTTGAATTTCACTCTAGAGAAAACCCAAGAAACTTCCTCCTTTCTCTCCCCATCCTCATAGTAGCAAAATATGCACCAACTAGGCAAGGTGACTCACAAACCATTTATATGAAATAATGCAGTGCTGAATGTGATCTTTGCTTTTGGGACCCAGCATGCCGCTCTTTCTCTCATTATCCGATGCTAGAAGGTGTCTCTTGGGTAACTACATATGTCATATACCAGGCCGTTGCAAGAGGAGCAGACTCTGTTCCTCATACACAGGGGTTTTTCCTCCCGCTCCATACACATGAACTTTGGAAACACATTTTCTCTGTTTCCCTTTCCTCTGCTCTATCAGAGGTGAGCACAGCAATGTAGGGAGAAGACCAGCACATTGATGCAATCAAGTGCAGAGATGCTTTTGCTGTATAGAAACATTTGTTTCACCACAGTGCAGGTTGCAGAGATGGGGCTGTGACCTCCCTGTAGAGTCTGTTACCTGGACTGTGGTAGTGGCTGCAGCAGCAGCAGACTTAGCACAGATGCACCTCAAAAGGGCAAAGACAGAGATTAAGCAATCCCTCTTTCCAGGCTGCAGTGTGGCAGCCCATACAACTGTTCAGAACAGGGACTCATCTGTGTTGTCTACAGCAGTAGTGTCTCTTGAATCTCTTCTGGATTTGGGGGAACCCCAGGAAGGAGACTCTTACTGCCCAAGTCTCAATCTGTGCTCAAGATTGTTTTTTAGATCATGAAGCTTTGTTCTCCACTTTCTTTGGGTCTGCATCACAGCAAATACCCTACTGCCAGGTCTGTATGCTGCTTCTGTGTTGGAAGAACTGTCTAAATTAGTAAATATGATTTTAACAAAGTACCTCCAGCTGTGGGTTGTCAGCCCATAATGGGAATGCAGTTGTATCATTACAAAGATGCCTTTTTCTGGCATAGCTCACTCAGTTCCTTGCCTGCGCAGGAAGAGGGATGCCCACTGGTCCCAGCAGCCTGCCTGGCATGTCTGTGGCACCACAGCCCCTTCATCGTACCAACGTAATTAACGTGGTATGATGCGACTTCTGTGTGCAGATGAGACTGAAGGCAAGTGCAGTTTACAGGAATTGGGGACTACCACATGTGTATGACCTGTGAAAGTAATAAGAGGGTTGGGTTTTTTTAAACTCAAAAAGAAACAACACTTTTTCAGTAAACAGGATATATTTTAGGAGAGCAAATATAACATTTGTTTTCAAGTTTTATATGTCTGTTCTGTCAGAACTGCTCTCTTCTTAATGCCTTAAAAGCATCCCTGAAGGCTTCTGGAACTTTCCCTTCTTTGAGTAAGGAAGTCCTCTTTTTCCTGGGGAGCTATCTGAAGGATCTAAGATGCATCGTCTCCTTTAAAATAGTCATTTTTAATTCCAGGGCCATTAATCACATTTTCAGGACCACAGTTAGTGGCCAAGACCACATAAAAAAAGCAGGGTTCACCAGACACTGCTTCCTCTTGAGTCTGTATTGCACTATGCCTTTCGCAAACCACCACTTTTTACCTTGTCCTTTGCAGCACAGAATTACACAGCTCCAAAGAATTTATGCAGAAGGGAAAAGGCTTGGGGAAAGGAGTTAAATTTAGGCTTCCCACATGTGGTATGGGTAAGTAAGCCTCAGATCTGTAGCTCTGTTTTTAGGCTCCTAAGTTTGACAAGAGAGACATATTCATTTGGGGGACATATGATGCTAACCGCTGGGATGATTGCAATTGCGACAGTGTGCTCGCTCTTTAGCAATAAGTTATGAAAGACAGATGAGCTGTATAGGGGATGTATTCATGTAGGTATTTTCCAGAGCTATAACTGTGTATGGGGTATAACATTCTGAGGTAAGTAACTCTTTCCAAAAACAGGGGCAGAAGAGATTTTAAATCCATTCTGGGGGCGACAGCTGAGTTACAAAGAAATCCTTTCCAAATAAATAAAAGGATGAAAAAAAGAGAAAGATTTTACTACTGTGAACTTTATTACCCTACTGCTAGGAAAATAATTGCTTTTTGTCTGCAATGAAATTGCACATGTGTAAGTGTCTGACTGTTAAAATAAGCTACATCTATTAATTTCTACTACAGTATTAGGTAACTTGAGACTATGCTTTATAAGTTCATTAACAGAGAATGACTTCAATGCTTGAGGGAACAGTGCATTAGTGCACCTGATTTTATATTTTAATGTGTCAGTATGTAATGTAAGCCCTGAACTTCTGAATATTACATTAATAAATGTAAACACAAAATTAATTATAAATTACAAATATATCAGGTGGTATAATTTGTGGGAAACAAACGTTCCTGCAATGTATTAACAATTACAGTCAATATAGATCTTTACAAGACTTAACTGGCCAGATTCTGTTGCCTCTATTGAAGGCTGGGTAGTCCAGATAGGTTATTTAAAAACTGTTACCAGCCCACAGAAGGTCTTTGCGGTCTGATGATAGTCTAAAACACGCCCCTTTGCTTGAATTAATACAGGAAGCAGAAAAAATTCAATCACTTTTCCAGTGGTCATATAAATAATTAATTATATACAAGCATCAAGTCAGAAATGTCTCCTGCATTTAAACTTGCAGAACAATCTGCATCAGTAGTATAGAAAAAAAAAAAAAGGACAAACTCTTAATAGTAAGATGGCAATTTTTAAATTTCTATCTCAATTAACAAAGATTTAGCACTGGTGATTTAAAATGGAATCGCTCAGCTGCCACTGACTTTATCCAGGACACATATATATAATCTTTTCCAGAAATTCTGCTCCACATTTATGACTTTTCTTGGCATTTATTCAAATTGCAACAAACGTTTTCAAAAGGAGTATGTGTCTAGGCAATGTATATACACATGTACATGAAAACATGTTCCTTAATTTTTCCCTCCTACTAGTTTTTATGTCTGTGGGCACATGATGGATCACTATATCCACAGGGTATAGATGAATCAGCAAAATAACACTTTCAAGTGACACGCAGAACCAAGTGGATGGCAGAAGGGTGGAACAGCAATGTTTGATTCAGTAGTGTCTCCATGTTTTCATTTCTCTTCACAGACAAGTAAACACTTTGAGGTACTTTGTCCAAATACCTGCTTTGTTTGGCAGAGTGATAAGGAAAGAAATTATAGACTGACTTGGAAGGGATACTTGATCAGTCACTTTCTATTCGCAAACATAATGCCATGGTCCTCTATTCTAGAAAATAAACATTCTGCAACTAAAGGTGCTCCACCAACTATAATAGATGTGCAAGGTGTCCAGTGTGGCATAAGTTTTCCTAAAATCACTAATTTCCCCTCCCCCCCAATCCCATATTATACCCTACAATTTAAAATCGACTTTATTTTATTGCAGTCTATTGTGTTTAATGAAAAACTTCTCATGAGCCAGGAAGTAGCTGTTTATAGCTGTGTGTTGTGGAAATCACAGTGAAGGATTAGAAACGGGAGTAAAATTGCTTACAGCTGTATGAAAGAGCATATGCACAAGATAGAGCCAAGCCACCCCTACACACCCTGACTTCACTTTTCCTCTCATCCTTCTGGACTGTTCCTTTTCCATGCACCTGCTTCCATCTATTGCTATGAAATCTGGAGATCTGACTTTTGATTTGTTGCTCTGTGCTCTTTTTTTCAGCTGAACCAACTGAGTTGTGAGTCAGACTTTACAATATTATACAATAAACCTGTTTTGGATTGCAGCCATTGGACAGGAGAAACTAGACACAACGGGGAATGTACTCCCTGGAAATAAACCAAGCAGTCTGGAAAAAGCAAGAGCTATCCTAATTTGAGTGCAATCTTTGTACCAAACCTCAAGTCTTTTACAGATTCAGTGGTCTGCTTAATTATTCCCACTCTCACTTGATCCAAGGACTGTCTCCTACCCTAGAAGATTTGCTGGTATTCACCAAAACCAGGCAGGAGTATCAGAAGTCTGTGCAGGCTTCCACTACGGTACTCCTCGGTCACCATTGTCTTCTCTAAAGAGACAATGAGATGTCTGTGTCTGTATTATGGGACAGGGTGGAAAGAGAGCCAAAAGTATAACGTCTCATGCAGAGAGCAGTTATTAGTCTCCAAGAGGAAAGCAGTCACCTAAATCATTCCTCAGACTTGCACTAATTTCAAAGAAATCTGCTCACTCATCTTCCAGCCAGAAGCCAAAAGCTGTGCCAAAGCATCAGGCAGGTTTGGGAAGCAAGTGTGAGGGAGGGAAAATAGCCAAAGGCAGTTTGGGAACGTGCATGGTGAATGACTGGAAAAGTAAACAAGTCAAAATTTCAACAATTTAACATTTTATCAAAATTTTGGGTAGGAATAAAAGATTTAAGAATCAGACAGAGAGATCCATTACAATACTGGCAGTTAGCACAAAGCTGAAGCTTGGAAACGGCAAATATGTCATCATTCCACATTCAATTCGAGGAATTAAATGTTTTATGGATCTAAGAAAATGCTCTCATTCCTTCCATCTAAGGACCACCTGTGGCAGATTTGTATTTACAGGGAGAGAGATGAGGAGTAACACACCATGATGTCACCAGCATTCCTTCCTCGGCAGAAAAGGAATTAGAGAGAGATTAATCTCAGCATCGACCAAATGAACGATCAGCTGAATGTGTTTTATAGCTGTTATGCCATAAATTTCAGATATACATGCATCTGTGTTACAAAAATTTCAGCTAAGAACAGCAATGGCAGGATCTAAGTGAGCCATCTATCTATGTACCCGTTGTTTGCTAGGTACTTGATGAGAGGCTTAACTCTTCAAACTGCAATGTTTCCACTTGGCCAAGAAGATCAAGAATGATTATTTGAAAATTTTGAGTTAATAACCCAGACAAGTGACATGAAGAACTTTTACTGTAAGACATCCAGTCTCCCCAGATTAAGAGCAAACAATATTATATATGATACTTAATATATAGGACAACTTTTGCCAGCCAAAGAGAAGTAAAATATTCTGGGTACTATTTTTTTATGTCACTATAAACATATAGGCATACAGTGAAAACATACAAGCGATTTATTTATTTTAAGTAAGAGAGATGGACATCTTTCACTAGCATTTTAACTGGAAAAAAACCCCATTTGTTTCCCTGATACCAATTATTCTGCTTAGAAAAAACGAGTTTATATAGCCATGAAAAACAAATGTTCAAGCTAATAACTTTTTTAATACTACTTCAAATTCCTACTAAATGTAACTACAAAAGACTTCCTTTTGTTGTGGAGTCTAATGTTAAACAGCCATGTCACCAGCTTTTGTGAATTTATTTATAACAATACTAAGGAAGAGGGAATCCTAGCTACAGAGGTTATTTCCTGTGCCAGCTTCTATCCTAAAAATTTGGATAGCCACATTGTACAAATTAAGGATTTAAAATAGGCCTGTTCATCATTATAAAACAAAAACCTGACACCCCTGCAGAGTTTAGCTTGGTCCAGCTGATAAATCGATCCTTCAGAACAAAGCACACATGTAGGCTCTTTGCAGCAGATCCAGTTTGATATTATAACCTTTCCACATAACGATTAGGAAAATATTACCAAGTGAAGAACTGTCAAATACACAGATATGAATCATCACGCTGTGACCTTTATACAAGTGTAACAGAAAATATTTCATATTTCAATACCTAGGTTTGGCACTCAGCTATGAACTCCCTAATGTAAACTTTGTTGGTATTCCCCACCTGAAGTGATAGCCCAAAAGCAGTAGGCCTGAGACAGGAGGGCAGCTTGGCATGTACAGCATCCTAAGCTCATCTCCTAGTTTCAGGCCATGGAATATCTTCTGTCATAGGCCAAGCTAGAATCATATTCAGTAATTTCCACTGTTTTCATATAAACAACATAAATCATCCAGATTGAAGTCAGAATGAATACCAATACAATAGCAAAATAATAGCAAGCTGAATACAATCTGTACCTTTGTGACAGGCAGTTCCTTGGATTTAGACTCAAAGAGATGCTCCAGTTTGGAAGTGTCCACCTTAATGGGTTCCAGTTTCGACCACAGGAATTCTCTGCAGCGTTTGTTGTTTTTACACTGCCACTCAAATGGCCGTACCTCGTTCCAAAACAGACGGATGGTTTTCTTCTTCTTCATAAATGCTGGCTGACCCCTAGGAACCTGGGGTGACCCTAAACCCTGAGGAGTGCTGAACAGAGGAGGAGGAGCCAATAAATTAGCAGAGGGTGGAGGTGGAGGTGGACATCCAAACAGTGGGGGAGGTGGTGGAGGAGGCAAACCCAGAAAAGAAGGTGGAGGTGGAGGAGGGGGAACAAGGGAGTCCCCAGGACCCATATCCATGTCCAACACATCTACATCATCCTCCTCCCCCAAGTCTGTAAAATCCATGTCTTTGATTTTAAGTTCTCTAGGATTAGCCATGAGCTGATCCCAGATGTAGTCAGATTCCTTCTTTGGCTGTGCTGGTGTTTTCTCAGGGACCTGTTCACTGATTTCATCTTCAGGCACGGCTGTCCCCTTGGCCAGCTCACCACTGTTGAATTTTTCCGCAAAGGCTTTCACGCTGCCTTGGTTGTCCAGATTTCCAATCTCCATCTTTTTGACACTTTCCTCTTTGGCCTGCTTTGTGGCCTGAAGGATGGAGATCCTACTGGCTAGGCTAGTGAGTGACTCCTCGCTTTCCTCCGTCTCCTTCTTTTCCTCCTTCGCCTCCAGCTCCTTCTCCTCTTCATCCTTGGGCTTTTTGTTATGCGCATACAACATGTCCAGCATAAACCGCTTGTTGTTGAGGATGTTGCTGCACTGCTCATTCACACCAGCATCCTGAATGGTCTGCGACCAAGGACCTGCAATCACACACACACAGATGGGAAGGGTCAAGGGGAGGGAGCCAGAGCACCAAGAACACTCTTCAACACTTCAACCAGAAAAAAATTGGGGGACACATGCACAAATAGTCTGAAACTGGGAAAGCAGTAGCTTTGAAAATTTTGAAATAAGTGACAGTGCTGATATATGGCCCAATCTTCATGAGCTGGGAGTAATTCTCAGAAAAGGAATGGGATTTCAAGGTTCAGTTTCTCCTGAAATTTGGCAGGTTTCACTTTGTACTTACTACCCCAGGTCATTTTATACAGTGCATAAACGTTCTGAACATGTAGTAATCTGGAATGGGGCTTAAATATCATGACAGATAGGTTACCATCATACTTTTCACCTGGCCATAAACTGGAACCACCACAGGAAAACTTCCTTATAAAAGAGGAGTTCCCTGTCTGATGTCAAGGTCAACATGTAACTGCTTACTCCTGCTCCTCCCTCCCTGCTGGCTAAGAGAGGACACCTTCCACATCTGGCTGTTCCTCAGACCTCCTGGCTGGGTACCTGAGCCATCTTCACAACATGAGCTCTTTGAATCCCAGAGCTCTCAGGGCAACTCAGAGAGTATAAGCATAAGCAAGATTTTAAAAGTTATTTCTAGGAATATAAGCACATTTATAAACGATTTTTTAAAATGCTGATCATCAAACACTGTTACCCTCCCTGTAATGTATGATAGCATTGAAAACTTAATGGCCTTCTTCCCACATTACGATCATTTAAAATGTCACTGTAATGAAGCTTCATTTTTCTGACTACTGCTTTTCTCAACAATAATCTGCAAAATACCATGTTTGAGACAGCACCATAAATAAAAAACTATAGTGGTCAATTTGTAAAAATAAATTATGTGTCTCTTTGACTACACTTCCCTGAATATAATACTGTTAACCAATGTGGATAATGTGTTTAAAAACTATGGTGCTTCTTTTTCCAGTGGGCTTCAGATGAAGTGATTAAACATGGACAAAGATAATTCTTCACACTTACTTACTTACTTACAGTAATTCTGTTCCCCATAGTCTTTACACATTTTATTTTTTATAAACTCTATTTCATAAAAAACATTTTACTTTGCCTGCTAGCCTGCCTTCCTTTTGCCCCATTGTGATTAAAGATCTTCTGTTATACCTGTCAGTTGTCCTCTCTCTTAAACTTACATTTTATCTTTGTTTCTCCCTGTATGCTCCCAACTTTTTCAATATTTTTAATGTTTTAAACATCTTTTATGGCTTCCTTCATCAATGGAGTTGCTTTGGTACCATGACATCTAGACCTGTGCTCTGAGAATGTGTGTCCTTGGTGAGATCCATCATCCAGGGTCCCACAACTCCCCTCTGCTCCTTTAAAACAACACCACGTTAAAATGTAGGATGTGTCTCTCAGCACAAAGCATATGGACAGCAATGACTCTCACGTCTACTCAGATCATCCTCTAAACCACATTTTAAAATGGATCCAGAGGTTTAACTCCAGACAAAAGAAAGACTTTTTCTCATCAATGGATACAAGATCCAAAACTGTTTCCTTCTACTTCCCTGCAGGAGGCTTGACTGCTTCCATTACCTGTTTATTCTTCCTCAGACTTTACCCGTGGGATTGCTTTCTCACCAAGATTTGTCATGTGAGGTTGTCTCTTTAATTTGTCGTGGAGGTAGTTTCATTTGACAATGTGACTTGACAACTCCATTCCCACACCACACATTTTACCTAGCTGAGCCCCCAACAGAGGATTTCCCCATACTCCCAGCCTTACCTTTAAACATATTCAAGATTGCTCCCAAGACCCCTCCTACAAAGGTCCTCCAAGACCCCCATGACCTACCCTCTCTCAGTTTCACCAGTGGGGATCCTCCAGGATTTAATCCCTTTGCAAAATTGCTCATCATAATTCTCCCAGACACAGCCTGTAATTTGGGCTCCCCAAGGCTGCCTCCACCTGCTGATCAAAGATTATTGCTGTGAAGACTCGACACCTTGGTGGCATCTTCTGCCCTCCCCTCCATAGGTAAAGCTTTGAAACACCATCGGAGAAACAAGAGTTGTTGGAAGCAGGATGGCTAATAAAGGAGGAGCCAGGACCAAATGCTTTATTCTTTTGTCCTTAATGAATCTGGGCAGAATCAATGGGCCACTGGCAAACTGCTTGTTGGGAATGTGAGAACTGCTGGAGAAAGTACTCTCATTTGCTTTCCAAATCTCCTCACCTACTAGGGAGAAGACAATTCACTACATGAGACCTCCTACATATTACAACATAATAAATCTTTGGTCTACTGGTAATGTAGGTCAGTTTTAAGATGTTCATTTTTCAGTAATAGGGTACATTTCTAAGCTTTTAGCAAGAAGTATATAAGCACTGAATTAGCGGTAACAGGTTGGTAACAGACATGGTAAGAGGAAAAAACCTGCAACTTGTTCTCCTTTACTTGCACTTGGACTATGTCACAGTGTAACGACATCCTTCATCTATCATGCCTCCGCTCCTTTTCCTACATATATATTCATCTACATTCTTTAAGAATACAATAGAATTCTAAGTAACTCAATCTTGGTGATGTCTGAAAAGGAGATAGCTCTTATATTTAGAGTAAAATTAATGCTTCCCAGAAAAAAAAAAAAAAAAAGTTATAGGGTTTAAATATGAACAGTGCAATATGACAGTTTATCTCCGTGAGGAAATCCTTGTGATTTGAAGCTAGCCCTCTTTTTTCAGGAAAGAGCAAGACTATTCCACACTGTGAAGCAATTCTTGCTTTCTTAGTAAACTTATGACAATGCACTCCACTGCTCAGCCCTAAGAAAACTTGGGAACCAAATGCACTAATTACATTTCATTCCTTTAACTCCCTATAAAAAGAGGAAAATAGTAATTAATCAACAAAGGTCAAAATCTGCCTTTTATTCCTTCCCTGTCCAGGCTGCATGACAAGCTCTGGTTGTCATTATCTCTCCAGGTGGAAAACTGGTTTTTAGTGTGTCTTTCAGGATGGGCCTTTAGAGGTGCCTGGTGGCATATCTGACCAGAACCACTGGTCCCTACAGAACTGGTCTTTTCCAGAGAAGGTCTGTTTCATGTGCCTTCTCCATATGAGCTAAAGATGGCCACAGCCTACACCTATCTTCAGCAGCTCCTATGTCTTTCTGCTTTCTGAAGCCTAACCAAGACAGGAGAACAGGAGGGAAGGAACAAACGTCGCAGCCCTCTTTGCTCTTCTTCTTCCACTAAAAGGATAAGAAAAGGTATTTGGAATCTCATGATAAATCATGTCAGCATGGCCCCTTGTCTCATTGCGTTATGTGCAGGAAACCCAAATAAATTCTCTGGGAGATGATCCAATAGTTAATATATTAATCTTAGGGGAAGAAAATGGTTTTGGATCAAAGGAAACCTCATTTCATCAAGGCCTTACTGTCCCTCAAACATAGAAACCCCACCAAAGTCTGTGGATTTCCAAGCAGAGAGTAGACCAGACTTGGCCATGGCAAAGAGTCTTAGGTGCAGAGGGTTTGTTAGCTAATTAACACAACAGAGCTGCTAATTTAACATTATTTTTCCCCACCAGAAACACTTCATTATCGAAAAAGCTTCACTTTACCAGTTTCATTGTCACTGGTTAACTTGTCCTCTCTCTCTTCCCTCTCTAAAGTGCTGCTTGCTGAGGATATGCTGGATGCAGAGCAGTTGTCTTTTTCATTCACTTCCTCATTCTGTCTCTCTTTTTCACTGAGTATTGCACTTTCTTCTGGCTCTCTCTCTGGTCCTTGCTCGACCTCACTTTCTGGTTCCACCTCTGTAGCCTCTATTTCCTTGGGTGTCTCCGTTCCCTGCTCGGCCTCAGCCTCAGACTGCTGCTCTGGTTCTGGTTCTGTCTCTGTCTCTGGTTCGGGTTCACTGGCACTCACTGGTGGAGAGAACAATGGGAGAAAGAGATTCACTTAACAACGGAGTCGTCTCAGGCTCACTCCTCTAAATGAGAGTGATGTGAAAGTTGTACAAGTGCCTTACGGAAAGAAAATAAAAAGCAAGTCCATGGCATGCTGAACATTAGGAGCAACAGACTGATGAATGTTGTGCGACGACAGCATTGCATGTCAGAGTGGCGTGGCAAGACCCGTTGCTTGCTGTCTGCAGCCAGCCCACTGTTTTTACACATACTTCCACAGCTGCAGTGTTGGACTTGCATAAGGATTTGAATGAACCAGCAGAAAATGGGCATCCCACCTGAGCATGACATTGACAGCTCAGTGCCTAGACAGAGCCAGGAAGGAAGAGATCTTTTAAAAAGCAAAAAGGAGGAAGATTTTGGCTTTTGGTTGAATTTTCTTTGGGTTCTGGAAGAATTCTTTTTTCACCTGATGAGGAACACTTCAACAAAAAAATAAAAATATTAGTTTTATTAACACAGTTGAATGGCACAGTCTGGAAATGGCACTGTTACACATTTGGCTGACAAAAAACGTATGTTTTTTCATGCACATTTACTTCAGAACAGCCACATCAAAATTGAACAAAGTTTCCAACTGCTTGGCATATGGCACAAATTTAGCTTCCAATTGGTTGGCATATGGCATATGATGAGCTTTTTTATCAGTTGCACACAGCAAACACTGTTGATAGTACGCTCGGTTTCTTCTTCCCTGCTTTACCACTGACAGTGAAATGAATTCATTCACCTTTAGGGTTTTTAGCTATAACAGCGTATTTTCACATGCAAATATTCTCTGCATGCTGCAAAGAAACTGAAGAGCATCCACACATATTCACATCAAGCAGCTCAAAATTTTCTGAAAACTGAAATGGTCATGCAAGAGTGATGAAAATGGGCATGCATGTTAGTTCTGCATACTTCCCAAGTTTCCTCTGTACTAAATCTTGTGTTGGGTGGCTGAGCTACAATGATGAAGTCATACTTGTTTTTTCCCCTCTGTTAACTATTTTTCATTGCAACATTGCAAAAGAGCCTTCTGATTTTGTCATGGTCTTTGGATCATATGATATATATGATGAGACTTTCTTCAAGAACTACATGAATTTTTAAGGGAAGAAAAGTATCACACTGGAATACAATCCAAACATTTTAGTCCTTTAGGGAGCAGGTAAATAGATTTATCCTGAGAAAGCATAAGCCAAAATAATGAAGTTCACAATGTTTTCCTAAGATTGTTTCATGTTGTGTGTCTATCCTATTTTCTGAGACACCCACACAAAGAATAATGATTTCTAATAATGCCTGTGCTTATCTTTACAACAACACACACGTTTTTAAACTAGCTTTCAGTAATGCATCTTCAGTACTACACTATTCACTATACCACTTCATTTCATACAATTTAAGCAGACAAACTGCAAATGATTTTTTTGCCACTGATTTCATTGGAGTTAAACTTCTGCATTTTCACAATTGATTTTAAATGTGGAGTTAGTTAAATTACCAGACATGTATGTACAATATTTTTATATAAAAGAAATATACACATAGTATGTTTACTATATAACCCATGTTCACTCAAATCCCTGTAGATGTTTTAAAACACTCTCAATCAGAAGCTTACCTTTCTCCCTCTTCCACACAGAGAGCATCTAAAAGTCTAATATTAGATATGCAAGTAGCTCTGCACTCTGCCTTGTCTCTTTAAACATACCTTACTTATGCCTGTACCCTGGACATTGCTTAAGGGAGAATCAAAATTAGAGAGAGCTGGCAAGAAATTGGCAGACACTCTGAATCCCAGCAGTGTGTTTCTGACCACAGCTGTCAGTGTGTAGATATAGAACAAGAGCATTTTAAAGTCAAGACAAGATTTTAATATGACTGAGATAGAAGCTTAGGAATCCTTCAGGAGTTCCTGGAACTAACGTGGTACTGTAGCACAGAAGACTCTGAGCTTGCCACACTGCAATGATCCATATATACAAATGCCATAATTCGTCCTTGAATAATTATAGTTTTGTATGAATTTCAGATATCTCTCCCTAAAAAAAAAAATAAAAAAGCGCTGTCATGCAATAACCAAAAAAGTCAACTCCAAAAGCTCAGGTGGAGAAAGAAGTTGACTAGAACATAACCAGGACTGCTAATGCTTATGGCACCTTTGTCATCGTGAAGCCACACTCAACATGATAAAGTCAGGGGAGACATAAGAAGTGCCTGAGAAAATAAGACTGTTCAAAAGAATTCTGATATATAATACTCTCCAAATAAGGAATACAATATAAGAGTATATAATACTCTTCAAATAAGGAATATTCCACACGTACCAGAAAGATGTAGCATCTTAGTAGAATCTAACATGTAATAAAAAGTAAAGAGCAATATACTGACACAGCCTGCTCTTTTGAATTCAAGGAGCATCAAAATCTAATCAGTTCCAGAACAAAACAAGGATATGTTGACATTAATTTTGACAGCCTCTCTCTCTTTAGGCATAATATCAAACAATCCTTCTATACCCAAATAACTTGTAAATAGTGACCTAAGTCTCTGCCTTTAAAAAGCAATTCAAAATCAAATCTATCAGCAAACACTAGCAGGAGAACAAAACCAGCAAGCTAGATGTGTGTCCATCACTTGCAGTTCCATCCTGTAGTCTACTGTGCTGATATTGGCAAGAACTTCTAAAGCTGTTAAAAGTTACAATTGTTAGTAAATGCTTAGTGGTGACCTATTTGAAATGAGCTGGAACTTTCAGTCCCGTATCTATTCGACCCATTTTCACACCCAACAAAACACTACTGGCAACCTTGCAGGTGGCAAGAGAGTTAAATAATAGATCAGGCTCTGTCCCATCTTCAGACTTCTTCTAGTGGAGAGCACAAAGACTCAGGGAAGCAAGCACAGTGATATCAAAAAGCATCAACAGCAAAGAACGCGTTCCTGAGATATTAAGGAGTGTGATGCCATTATAAGCATCTGGTTTTTCTTACACTTATACAGTTCTTAAAACCTCAGCTGGGATTCCCAGATTCAGTAGTAGAGGTAATCTATTTTCACTTTCATATGTTACTCTTCACACTTCTCTCAATGCTTAGTTTTACCCTCCCTCCCTGCTGTGAAAACAAGTGAGTCGGGTATTCAAAGAACTTAATCTCTGAAAATGTATTATTAGAAAAAAATGAGACTTCTCAGAAGGGTGAAATCTCCCAAAGAAGCTATGTAACCTCATCACTAAAAGAGATGGTAGCAGGGTCCCTCAATGAATGTGTTTCGTTGTTTTGAGAGACAGTGTAAGCTCCATCTTCTGACGTTTTCAAGACTTGGTCACATAAAGCCCTAGCAACCTGATCCACTATGATCTGATTAGATGTTAGTGACAGCCCTCTTTTGAGTGAGAGGTTAGAGAGGACAACAAGCTGCTCCCTTCTGAAAAACATGGCTATGAACTTATAATGCTATACAGGGAAATGAAAGGAAATGACCTTTCTTTTGATACAAAACTATAAATGAACTCTGAAGTAGACCCAAGATGCTGTATACTTAGTGCCTGCGGATAAGAGCTCAACCCCACTGAGTCCTATAAGCCCTCAGAGAAAACAAACATACCTCCAGGCCCACATCTAATCTCCTACCAAGGTAATAGATTAGGCAACCACCTCTTCCTCTATTTTTCTCTGCTTTCTACTTGGAACTGGGAGATACATACACTAATCGTCTCTTGAGGATACATACAGTAAGTCTGAAGATGACTATACCTACCCAGCCCTTTCAGTTTAATTGTTCGGGCACTGCTTAAAGTCTTGGTGGTTATCTCCCTTCAGTTCCTCCAGCACAGAATTCCTCTTGCTGTGAATTCAGCAGGGACTTTTCCTCCACCCCCACCTGAGTCTTTTCTTCCCACTCCTTGTGACGGTAAAAACTAGCACAGAGTGATCACCAGTAGGGAGCTGGCTCTTTCTTCATCAAGTCAGAAATGATCTTTCTTTGTCCCCCACCCCAGTTCCTCCTCTGACTTTGTGTATCATGGTTCCTTTGGCTCTACAAGTGGGGCTGCAAAGGCCTCACTGCACCCTCACGCTCTGGTGCTTCTCCATCTGCTGAGATACTTTCACCAGTCATCCTTCAGGCAGTATTTGAACCATGCTCAGCTACTAGTATGTTCAGAAGGTTTCCTACTGCCCACAGTGTGCACTTGGGTTGGCCTGCTTACTTTCTCAAGTGCTAAAAAAGTTGCTCCTCTCAAAGGAGGGTTCATCTCCAATTCCTCTGTGGATTGACGTCAGAGATGTCTTGGGTTATTGTTGCTCTCCTTTACTGCACATGTGCACTTCATAAAATATTCTCCAATGAAATTACAAAAGATGAAGTAGCTGCTCTGAAAAAAAATTAAGTTCCATTTTGTAGTTACAGGACTGCCTTCATTTCCTCTGAATGCCATACTCCAAGTTTTACAAGAGTAAGTCTTACAAGACTTGATTACTGTAGTGGAACCAATTGTTTTATATGAGAAAACACTTTAGCTCAGCAAGGCCAGATTTTTGTATTGGGTAATGATACCGAGACGTTTCACAGCGTGGGACAAATTTCCATAGACAAAATCCATTTCCTTCTTAAGCCCAGCAGATACTAGCTGGCCAGAGGATACCTTCAGCACAAACAGCATAAAATACATCTGACTCCAAAAATCACCTTTTTGTTGCTTTTTGTTTTGCTAGTAGAGAAACACACTTCCCGTTTCACTTCAGGTTCTGAATTCTGCAGACAAATATCACATGTCCATAAACACCATTCTTGCAGAGTCTTTAGAGGGTCCCATGCACAGACCTAAGAAACTGTTTTCCTTCTGCAGTTTCATCCTTGCTTGAGAAGATGGTGACCCTCATGTTCAAAGCAACTGATTGGGGTGCAAGTAATCTGGGTTCTGTCCACAGCTCTATTTCAGCTTTCCTACAACTGGCTTAAGCAAATTAATGCCTCAGTTTCTCTACTTATTGAGTGGGATTCATAACATTTCCTAAGAACAGTAAAAGTTGAGATTTTAGTTTCTTATAGAGCATAAAGAACTCAGATAATAGTTTAGAGGCCATGTCACAAAATCTATAAATAAGCCTACCACATGTTAGTTGGCATCCAATAATCTCGCCACCTCCAGATGAGAGAGCCTGCCTTGCCCACATGCTCATTACTTCATATGATCTTTCCAAAGCTTTTGGTAGTCCTGAAACAGCAGTCCTTCCCCATGTACAGCTCCCACTGAAGTATGCAGAGATCAGGCCTCTGTTCTGGTGCTGTCTTGGCCATCTGCCTGCACAGCTGCCCTTGGCTGGAGGCCTACCATGCCCCATCCATATGTTCGCTCCTTGCAGTCCATTTGCCAGGCTTCCAGGTGCTGCCCTCTGATGCCTACTGGTATTGCCAGGAGTTTTAGTAGAGATGTCCTACCTATCCATGTGTTGATAGCTCTGTCATATTCTGGCTGCCTGAAGCTGCCCTGTACACCTGCTCTAAATGTACTCTCCAAATGGACTGTGCTGCTCCATTTGATGCTGCTTTTTTTTTTTTTGAATGCTTCCAGGAGAAATATGTTAAAATAATCATCATAAAAGAGATACTTGCTCCCTACCCAGCTCTGAAATCCTAATGGTGGAAAAATCCAGCTTATTTGCTCTAAAAGCAATATTGCACTCAAGAAAATGGGCATCTGGATGTTTCTGCAGATCAGTGTTACAGGAAAATATCCATGTTTTTTAAATTCAAATGATTCCACTGAGACTTTTAAGGTGCCAGACAAGAAAACTGGGTATATAATTGGGAAAATATATTAACCTAAATTAAATAAATTTCACCTACTCAGTACAGTGAGGATAAACATATGCAACATTCAGTATTTGTAACTTTTTTTCTTAAATTGCCTCGCTTTATAGCACGCTACCAGCCATAACACTCAATAAAACCAAGCAGTGCAAGTTACAAATGCATTAATCACCAATAGCACGTAGCAGGAAATCAAATAAAATAAAAATGAATGATGGCGATAATTCACCCTCAACATGCACTCTAGTTCCCAATGTTAATGCATCATCATGTGGCGTAAATATAAATCTGTATGGTGTGTGTTTTTGTGAGGACTGAAGGGGGAGTACATGATGCAAGTGGCAGAATGACGTGCACACACAAAAAATATTGCTCTGTACACCAATAAATTATATGACAGCAAACCAACCGTGCAAACACTAATTATACTTTCCTTTTTACTAATTGTCTGTGGTCTCTTTTAAGTCCTTTACTACTTGTGCTACAATTTTAAGAGTTTTTGTTGGTGTTAAAAATAACCAACACAGCCTCCCTGACTTCAATTCAAGACCTTTTCTGTTTGTCCCATTCAGCCTGTGCTCTGCTGGAAGGTTATTATAATCTTGGCATTCATCTGTTGCATTTCTTTCAGAGAATCCACATAAGCAAAATCTGTTGGCAGGAATATTGTTGGTTTAGTATTCAGTAAGTTCTAATATACAAGGAACATGATGCTAAAATTAAGACCCTCTGTATGCTGTATTATCCAATTATTCCATTTTAATGCAACAGATAATGATAACATAAATCACAACAACAATTAGCAGTGTATTCTTTGCTTGAATAGAAGATATCCAAATCTATCCAGAAAAAAGAGGAAATTTAGGAAGACAGCATGAAACAATATAAGACGACCCTTTACTGGCACCTCAGTGGTTATATGTTTGCACTCATGCATCAAAAATCACTGCTAGCCAGACAGAAACTGTGACAAAACCACTGCTCTTTCCCCTGCCCTTCTTTTCACTTACCTTCTGAGGGCTGAGGGGTCCCAGAAGGTGTGGAAGGGGTCTTCAGCTCTTCCTGGGACTCTATGGATACTGGGCTGATGCACTTGGGTACAGGTGAGGATGGCGCTGAAGGAGATCTCAGGTTCAAGGACAGCTCACTTCTGCCTCGGCTTACGCTCCGACTCTTCAGTTCCTTTTCATACTCCTCTGCTGCCAACCTCTCCAAGTATTTGTATCTGAAAGTTAAATTCCAGAGGGTTTCCGTAAAGAAAAAGAAGTCTGTGGCTGATGCTTGTTTATGGATGAAACACCTGCAGAGAATGAGCTGACTTCCTGACACAAGAGGTACAGTACTAAACTGCCTGCCTGCCCAATCTGCCAAAAAACGCACACCAAAGCAAAGGCTATTGCCCTGAAAAATATTAAATTGCTCATGACAAAACAAAAGCAAAACCCAGCAGAGTTAAGGAGTCTTTAGATATAGTATTGTGTTTGCATAGTCCTCCTTTTGGAAGCATTTGTCTGTCCTCCTTTTCACCCTCCTCCTTCGCCTCCTCCTCCTCCTCCCAGCCCTTCCTCTCCCAAAATGAAAACGGGAGGGAGAAAAAAAAAAACCAAAAAAAACAACCCCAAAAGAAAAAACCAAACCACCAACCCTCCAAAGCCAGAGCCCCTTAATACTGATGCAAATAGTCAAAGTCTGAGACTTGCTGTAAGGGAGGAAAATGGTTCAGTGCAGCAGACAAAAACAGATCTCCCTGAAAATAATACCAATAATAAATGTTTGGATTGACTATCTAAAGTCTCTGAACCTGCTTCTATTTGCTCTGAGAGCAATGCACTGGAATTTACTTTGTTCTCTCCAGAGTCTACAATGGAAAGTTTTCTTTTTTTTATTCTAAAAAATTTCTCTGCCGGACTCAGACATCCAATAGCTTGGACCTGACGTCACATGTAGTTTATTCATCAAAGTCACTTTAAAAGAACAAAGATACATCTGTTTTGCATTTTAGGCAGGCAGAACTCACTAACTGTTTATTAAGACCAGCTACCAATCATATTCTTCATAGTGTGCTTTATACATTTCGACCAAAATAACTTTGAAATATGTGCCTCTTCCAGATGTCTGCTAATTTTATCCACCATTATTTGCTAAGGAATAAATTCATGAATACAGCTGGATCAGGCTTTAGACTGTTTGTCTTACCCAGAAGTGAACTGTTAAACAGGTTAATCAAGCCTACTGCTTACGTCCCCAAAACACTGTGGTCATCCTCCTATAACTCACCATTGTAAACATTTCTTAACAGGGAACACCTCTCCTCCCCCCTTCTGCCACACTGACAGCCTGAATTAGTGTACAAGGGTGCATTAAAAGCAGGCAGGGTAAAGAAGTCAGCCATATGTGGTAACAAACATGCTTAGTGCATATGGTAGCCACACACACATGCACATTTGCAAACATCCATATAGAGCATAGAAATGTGACTTTGAAGAGCAGTCCTTGTGTTTTCAGAGGCAATTTGCTTTACTGCGAACAGCAATAATGAAGAACAAACTCATTTTCTTTTATTCCTCCAGAGGTATGCACAGGCTTTGAACAAGTTCTGCAAGAAAAAGAACCCCTACAGACTTGGGATGAAAATATAACAAGCCACATACTTGTACGGTTATAAAATAGGAACTGTTTACAGTTCTAACATGAAGCCAATTCTTGAGAATGATTTTTGCCTTTTCAATAGAGGAGAAAGCCTTTTGCTGGCATTAGCATAATGTTTTGTTACAGTTCATGAAGCCAGTCTTTCTTTTAACGTCGGTCACTTACATATTGCACCCTCTGCCTCCTCACAAGCAGAGCAGATGGGGCTTCAGACTCATAAAGAGCCATTCAGTTTGATCACTTAGCTCAAACAGGTACAGCCCAGCTGGCTGCCGCTGAGGAGGGTTTTGCAGTTTGCCAATAAACTACAGCAAAGATCTGGATGGATCCTTCTGTAAGGGGGGGAGCTACAATGTTTTATTGTCCTCAGCTCTTTTTCAGCTGCTTTAACATTTTAGCTTCTGTAGATGTGCACTGCACAGCCAACCAGCAAAGCAGAGGACTATGATCGAGATGTGCTTCTCAAAATATATCTGTTCATTATACTGTAAGAGGGAACCAGAACAGCAACTCTCCTGGCAGCACATCAGAGTAACTAGTTAACAAATGGGAAGCCTAATAAGCAGATACAGCAATTTAACAAAGAAATAAAAATCATTCAAGAATCACTTACTAACACTTCACACTTGATAAATTACATTTATTTAGGTTGTTTTTTGGTTTTGCCCAATGTCTTAACAAGGAACAAATGACAGCAGGAAATACACAAGGTCTCATGAAGACCAAAATCTGAAGGAGTTGAAAGGATAAGATACCACCCCTCTGCTGCAATTAGTTCCGCCACTACAGGATTGACACATTGCCTCTGTATATATTGCTATATTTCTTTAAATCATGGAAACTTTCAGACGTCATCATGCCTATGCCAACTCTTTTTCTATAGACAAAGAGACAGAAGTCTGAGGGCTATCCATTTGGTACACCTCAGGAACATGACAATCCACTTATTATCTTCAAGTAGATGAAAATATAATTTTGAGTTCTCTAGGTCTCTGAGCAATGACCTGAGGGTGACTTAAAACGTTTATGTACCATCAAAGTTATGAGGTGAAGAGCATTCGAGCTCTAAGTCACACTAGAGAGGGCTTGGGAGATCACCTTTCTTGGATTTATTTTTAAATTACCACTGGGAAACACCCAACCAAGCAAAGTAAAAAAGGTCTCAAATCATCAAACAACAAGAACAAAGGAAACAAATGGTGCTGAGTTACACTTGGACCCCTTGAAACTGCAGGAATCTTTCTTCCTTATCCTCAGGTCACCCCAGAGCCACTGGAGAAGTAGGTGCCTGTATTCTGGAGCTCCAGGGTGACGTGATAGTACACAGAATGCTTTAAAGAGTTGAGAGAATTTAGACAAACCATTGTTTTTAACAGAGACTTTCCTACATGCTGAGTATTATCTCCTTCTACTTCTCCAAACTGATATGGAGGAAAGACACAATCCAGATTTAACCAGGATTTTGGCACCTTCTCACAGTCCATGCATTCTCTTAAAACAAGTCAACATGCAACTTGCTATAGGAAATGAAACTTCGTTTGTGCAAAGGGTTTGTTAAAAAAATAGTTACAGAAGGCCAATGTAATGTAATACTGGTACAAGACTTCGCTTGCAGTTTTCTCCAATATTTATGTGCTGTCAAAGCAAACATGTGTCTTTTCTCTTTATGCAGAAGAACTGATAGTTTAGCATTTCAGTTCAAAAGAGCCCTAAGGATAAAGGCACATTCCTAATGACCAGTGAAATCATCTCACATTGCACAGCAGTGATGCCCTGCTGGTGAACAATTCCCCAAAAATACTCCAGTTTACTTGGCATGTTCCCTTACAACTTGAAAGTGCTGGAGAGCTCACTTCTAATTTGTTTCAAAGCTTGCTGACGAGCACACTTGCTGTAAAAGGATTTACTCAGCTAAGATCAGTGTGTGATACTTATGGGCTCAGATGCATTTCATTTCAGAAAATGCTTTAAAGTATTTGTAATTGTTTTGACTGGAAGGACAAAGGAAAGGCCATCCACCTCTTCTAACTCTTAGAGATGTCAAAATAATTTTTTAATATTAGCTTCTTTAGCCACAGCAGATCAAACTTCAGTCTGCAGAAATGAATTGCCTCCTGTATGATGATTTTGTGAAAAAAACCCCACCAAACAACCCAAAACTAAAACGCAGCAACACTACGATTTCTAAGACGACTGCTCTCATACTTTGATAATGTAATTCCAGTTCTTGACAATCCAAAAGTAACTCCAGAGTGTAACCTCTAGAGGAACTAAAAGAACTGAAGCAACCTGGATGATTTTTCATCTACTATTTGTTCAGGAACATGCACATTTTTCAGGTAAAAACGAGAGCTCCCTCTAGGGTGTAATTACTAGTGAAGGTAGAGATGAAGCTACTGAAAAGCAAAGGTCTTTAGATGAGTAGTCCTTGAAAAATGTGCTTTCATAAGCACATAGCTCCCAGCCTAGCCCAGAGTTTCTAAACTACTTAATTGAATTAACAAAAGGAAAAAAACCCCAAACCCTCAGTCCCTTTAAATAAGTTACTTAAATAAAACTAAAACAATGCCTCAATGATAAACACTCCTAAGCTTTGTAATTTACTCACTGATGTTTAGAGAGACTGGCAAAGAGAACTTGGCTCTGAAAGATAAAAATATGCTGGAAGTGGGTCAGAACCATTTCCATCAGCCTGTGACTGCAATTTTGCAATGCTTGTGACCCCAATTTCCTTTATCCTCAGCTGCCTTTTCTGACCCTCCAGAAAGCTTGGGACCCGCTGGGTGAGAAAGACAGGCTTATTCAATTTATAACTATACTAAATTCAGGCAAATTTCTGAGGCAAATGAAGTAAGCTTATTTCCCACACAAATAGATAAAAGATAGATCATCAATCACTCTTATGCATTCCAGTTCCACTGCTCATCATTTATTGCTGTGCTTACAGCTGGACTTCATTCTCCTCTTTAATGAAACAACTGCTCTCTTATAGAAGTCTTTTGGAATAGAAGTGTTCTGTGCATGCAGAGTTAAAAATGTAAATGCACAACAGCTCTGCAGTAAAGAATATAGGAAGTGCAAACAACCAAAGGGAAGCATGGGTGCATTATATACAAACCTCTCTTCTCTTGCTTGTCTTAGTTCTTCTCTTTTGTCTAAATAATCACGGCTAAAAAGAGAATTGCAGTAAATTGCAGAGGAAACCAGAAGAATAAGGTAAGTAACAGAAGAACAAGTACAGTACGATAAACCAAGAGCAGTATAAACAAGCTGATCAGAGACAATCAAGGCTGCCGTCGACAAAAATTATTAGTTTGTTTCTGTAAAAGTGTGTGTGTACACTTATCCATGCATGCACCATGGGTATGTGCACACCAGATACATAGTTCAGAGGGTCATACAAATAATTATAAAAAGAACGCAAAAAGTGAAGAACTTGAAGCACATTTTGAACCCTGGTATGTGAAATTAGATACAATGAGCTGGACTCATCCATGATGAGCAGGCACATTAGTGGCTAATAAACCAATCCTCATTTGCCTCATGTAGAATGCCCCGAAACAGGGACCGCAGCATCTGGCAGGCTAGACCAAGGCATGGAGCACACAATATTGGCCCTCTTTCTAAAATACATTTACTCAGTGTGTTTTAGTTGCCACGGCTAGAAATGGGTCAGCAGACTGCCATTACCAAGTAGCATGGAGTCTCCTTTCTTACAAGGTGCATTCACGATCATTGGACAGGACCTTTCACTTCTTTATTCTTCTCCCTGAGTTTTACATACAAACCTTCCTCTATCTCAGATGGTCCTCGCACAGGTCCTCAAATAACTAGATAAATATTACTTATATTTAGCTTTTGCCAAGTCAACTTTGCTGGACATCTGAGCACTGTGATTTCAGGTAGATGTGTCACACCCACAAATGTGGATGCAAATTTAACTCAGAGCACAGCAGAACCCAGTGAACATTCAGCCTGCCTCAGTATCACAGCAAGATAGTTCCTTACAATATATTTTTAATATTTTGTTGAATCTGGTGGACAAAACTGATGAGACTTTCCCCTTATCTGTTAGATTTTTACACACCTGTGAATACCAGAAAGAGTTTCAGAATTACTCCATTTATGAATAAAACACTTTTTTTTTTTCTCTATATATTGTGTCATCACACAAATTACTTATCATCTACTAAGCTATTAAACATAGCCTTGCCAGTGCTCTTCAAAAGTCCATTAACAGGGAACACACACTACTGTTTCAAACTATCTCCACATCCTTTGAATCCCTGAACTGGTTATACATTTATAATATTTTCAGAGTACTCTTTGGAATTACAATAGCTATGGGAGTAACTCCAAGAGAAAAAAAAAAATCTATGAATTTTTCAGCAGGCAAATTTCCTCTCTGTCAACTTTCACCCTTCCCTACAGCTAAAGAACAACCCTTGTATTTTAGGACATATTGTTCTACATATGCAACAGGTACAACAGTCCTTCTGCTGAGAAAAACGTTCATTATGTAAAGCACTCCTTTTGCTAGCAGTAGCTTATGAAGCTTTTTAACTTCTCTCCTAAAACCAAGCTCTTTCACAACTGCTGATACCCTCCTTTAAATTATCCTCAATTTGTCAATAATGGTGCCAGAACCTAGTGAAATGTTCTCGAGGCAGAGTTGGAAAGAATGAGATAACAAATGAGTCACAATGGTAAATCCAGTACTGCTCATGAGTTTGAAGGCTGTGAATTGCAAGTGCTATTTTTAATCAAAAATACATCTTCAGAGACTGTTTTTCTAGCCAGAGTGATGATATGATAATGTAATCCCAAGAACTCTTACAAAACTGTCCATGACTGTTTGCTGTGGCTTTGTCCTCCTCCTGCCAGACTGTTTAATCAACTGTGGGATGCTGTCTGTCTGCAAAGTTTGGTGGCTTTGGAGACCCTCTACTCAAACACAAGTTATAACTTTTGGTTGACCAGGGAACTCAAATCTAGAAGATGAAAACATTGGCCATTGGAAAACTGTCATCTTAAATACACAACACAATCATGACATTTAGTTAACCAGTTTCTGACTCTGAAGTAATGGGAGGAAGATGTATAGTTAAAAAAAATTTGGTTTTCTAACTTTAAGGAAGCTCTTTTAGTGACAGAACAACTACTGCAGCTAAGCTCCAGTGAAATGTGCAGATCTGTTATTCAAATAGGTCAAGCTGCCAAATGTCCTAGTGGCTTTTTTGGTCTGGGAGTTTCCTTTCTGAAAAGATCATGTTGGCTGTCCACAGCAGCCTGCTGCAGCCTGATGATACCACTTAGAGCGAGAGCTTTTGAAAGGGTCTTGAAGACTGAGACCTGATTGTTTCTGTTTCAGGAGACCTTGGGCAATTGTTGGCTGCCAAAGATCCTATTATGGTGCTCTTCCACCTTCCCTCTGCCTCTCATTTTCTTCTAAACTAGCTATCTTCTGGAGCCAGGAGAGTATCTCCTTCAACTAACCAACAAACCAACCACTAGTAAGTTACTCCTCTTTCCAAATTCACTATGACACAGACCACTTCCACTTCTTACTAAAGAGATAATTACAGCGAAAATAATCCTGCATACTAATAAACAAGCTCACATGAAAACCAGTGCCATCTTTTCCATAATTACCAACTCCAAGGCTACGAAACATTTACCCTACCAATTTTTAGATACTACATTTTGTCTAACTACTAAAAATATGTTTACTTTTCACTCTCGCTTATGAGGAAACAAATCGGTTTCTTAGAGTACACTCTTCAGACAGCTGGCAAACCACTTCAGGCATAAGCTCCTTATCTATCTTAAGCCCACTGCAGTCTTTGCTAATGCCTGTGCTGGTATTTCCAGGCATGGATTTAACAGGAGGAGAGAGTTTGTCCCTTACTATCCTCAGGCAGCACACCCCAGGATCCCACAGCATACATGTTCTCATGGAGAGCCCTATATATTCAGCTGGGGCCTTTGCCTGGCCATGGTTTGAGCAATAATTTTGATAATTAATTTCTGTCAGTTGCTATTTCCAGGAGGAAGAGACACATGTTCAGAAAAGCAGGAAGAAGTAGTTAAAAATCACTATAAAGTAGTTTAAAAACATTGAAAGTAGTTTAAAACATCCTGAGACAACAAAACACTTCTATTTTGCAGAATATAAAAGCAAAAAGATATCTCAGTGCTGTCTCTTCCTCACTTCTTGATACCTTCCTCCAACTGTTTCATCTTCAAATCCTATGCGTTGCTGAGATTATACATTTGGGAGTATGTTAGCTACTCAAACCTGGCCTCTTCAGATACCCACACAGTACGACTGGCAAATACATAGCTGCCTTTAAAAAAAAATGCTGGCTTATGAAATGCCAAAATTCATCGTGATGTGTTCAAGATATCAGTTCTTAAGATACTTAGATCAAGAAAAGTATCTGAAGAGACACACAAACTATTCATCAATTCAGTTATTTTGGAATTGAATGTCTCAGTGATTTACAAATCCATCACACATTAAAGTAACAGACTAAAAGCAAATTTGGCTCCTACTTGAATTTGTTTCTTTCTTCGCGTTCTATCCTTTGCAACCTTTCTTCTCTCTCCTGACGTCGTCTTTCTCTTTCTGCTGCCAAGGACTCCTGGTGCTGCCGAAAAGATGATGTAAGGAGACCACCCAAAGCTGGCCTGCAGAGAAGGAAGATCAGATTTCTCAGTGCCACTTTTATTAATTATACTGGCAAAAATTGAGTAGGAATCATTCTGCAAGTATCATAATCCCAAACAACAGAATGACAAGACAATATTAATGTATGGATGCTTCAAAGCACTGGCTAAGCGTCTTGATAAATTGATTTAGATACAATGATGAGCTTAAAAATGACAGATATGGTAGGCTGCTTAAATTGCCAAATTTCTGAACACAGTACGCTTAAGAATTTTTCAGTCTATTGCAACTGCGATGTTGTCTAAATTTTTTTTTTTTTACTGTATAATCTTGTTAACTGATAAGCTGAATCCTGTAAAGGATTTTTTTTAAATAAAGAAAAGCAAGCTAGAATATTTTTCCAGCACTTTCCAAACATATTATGCAATGATTTTAAAAGCAGATGTGTCACAAACACCCGAGAATCCTGTATACAGAAAAACAAAAGTAAAAAATGTCAGAACTGCCCTTCAGAATTTGAATGCTCTCTTAAGCAGTGCCATAATTTTCCTCTATACTTTAACAAGTTCTGTTATTATTTCCTCACTGCATGTACTGCAAGAGCAAAATAAATCATGTATAGGAGCATATCAGTAAAATACACAGGGACAGCACAGTTAGTTATAATAATTAAGTGGCATCAAAATTGTTACTAAATAAATTAAAGGCAATGGGGTTGGAGCAGAACAGATTATCCATTTTCCTCTCCTTGCACAGGGCAGTAATTAGTCTTCTCAAACCATACTTTAAAAACTGTTTGTCTGACCTGCCTTAAAAATCCTTAATGATGGACGTACTGCACCCATCTAGTACTTAACTAGCCCTGCCAGCAAGAAAGGCTTCTCTGCTGTCTAGTCTAAACTTTTTTTTTTTTTTTTCCATTTAGACCCACTTGTTCTTGTTCTGTTCACAGAACCAGTGAACAAAAAGAACAATTTACTACCACTTGCTTTATGCCTAAGCAAGAATTAGTCTGAAAGTGGACTTTCTTTGCAGTCCTCTGACCATAACTATGAACTGGATGCTCCATGGTAGGTTACTGTAATGAAGAAGGCTCAGTGTTCCCACCAGCAATGCATAGCAAACTTCTAGCTGTTGCTCAGGAAACTGTTAAGATGCAAGAGATAATGTGAGTAAATGCCCAGCCAAATAAGTGGGACTTTTTTTGCCAGAAATGACAGGCTTTACAGTAGACTTCTCAAATATTTAAATGATTTATTCTTTGAGATGAAACAACTTCAAGTAGCAAATACTTTTTTAAAAAAGCCACATGTATATTAACTTATAGTTTGGTTTTGACACAGATTTTTAACTTTTTTTACTGCAAGTACTCCTTTGGCTAGCAGAGTGGCTCCTCTCACACATCCTTTCCCAACATGGTGGTGCTGGTACCACCAATCTCTCACATGGCAACAGAGTGACCTCAGCATAAACATGTCTGTCTTCCTGTCTCTTAGACAGGAAAAATATGTATTGTACAGGGTAGCTTTATACAGATGTAAATGTATCCACACTGATTGAATTAGACTGATAAAATCAAAGAGACATAACTCATGTAGAGCGGTTTCTCTGCATTGTTGTAACATGAGTTTTGCAATGAAGGGATTAATGAGAGAAATAGATACTGCCTTTTCTAAAAAAGAAACTAAACCCTGTCTAAAGGAAGGTTCCCAAACCAGCAATAGAAACCTGGATAAATTTTCATTATTTTTAAGAACTCAGACGCTTTCCCTTGCTTATTTCCATGCCTATGTAAATGTACTACATGTAGGCATTTAGTGTAATAGCATCAGTTCACCAATGAAAATAGGTGCAGGAGAAGACAGAAACAGTAATGCATACCTTCCCCAAGTGTCTATGTGCAAGCAGAAACACCACAAAACATAGCAATTTCGGCCCCACTGGCAGCAGGGCAGTGTGAATATAATTTCAATAAATTGAATTTCAATATGTCATATCCCACACACATAAACATTACATAAGATGGTATAAAACTTGATATTCTGTAAGCCTCCCTGCTGGCACTCCTCCAGAGCTATAGTATCAGTGCTGGATCACACTCAAACCCATAAAAATCTCTAATATGCCTTAGCACTAAGAAAAGACAAAAAATAAAATCCTCAAACCCTAACAGTCAAGTACATGTGGTGAATTTTCCCTAGAACATATTTTAAATTTATTTTAACTTTTGACCTTTCAGTGCATGTTGCAATAGAAAGCTCTAAGCAGAAACAGTAGCACCACTGTATTAAGATTCAGAACCTAGAGCTCTATCCGTCTAGTAGCATGAAAAATCACGGCAATAAGGTTGGATATATGATCAGAAATTGCTCTTGGAAGGGGAAAACTGGACAGTACCTCCACATGAAGACATCTGGAAATAAACTGGAATAGATAGCAAAAAGAGGGTCCTTATCAAGTCTGTGCTCTTATCTGTTCGGTGTATTTACCTTGCTATCCCACTCTGTCCTATCCCATCCAGCTGCCCTGAAGTCTGCAAACTCCATTTGGAATCAAAGGAAGTTATGACTTAATAAAGCCTGAAGGAAAATTAAGGGGAAGGAATGGGGTGATGCTGAGAGACCAAAAGAGTGATTGTAGGTCTGCACAGCATCTAGCAGGTTGGAAACCTTTAGCTCTGACTAAGCTCTTTGAGGCTTCACAGTAAATACAGTTATCTAAGGGATTACAGAGGAATCACATGGAGATGTGCAGCTTAGTTCTGCAGATGGGATTCGAACCTGATCTTGGTAGTAAAATATCTCCACATGCCAAAACACCTTGTTCGGAGGTTTAATCTTGCACAGCTTGGCTAGAGTTGCTCACTTGGCTGAAAATTTCACATGTATGAACAGTAGACTCACAATCTAAATAAAAGATCCACAGCCATATACCCAGGAAAAAAGCCAATGTCTAAGAAACTGTAAATGAACATCCATGTGCCATATTAGTTTGCCACCTCTTGAAAACTAATTAAATCCATAAAAAATAGCCCAAACTTGTTATTTCCCACTGGTTATTTAATAAATCCATACTTCAGCTGAGTTACAAGCTACAGCACAGCATGCACATGCATTCCTGATTCAATTAATTTGTCCCAAACACAGTCAGCTGTGGAGTGCCATTTTGCATACAAGAGATTACTGCATGAAATTGTCAAAATTAATACTCAGAGTTGTGAGGGGGTTCTGTTGAAACAGGTCATAATTAAAGAGATAGAAATGCAGCCAGTTGGCTCCTTGTGTGGCACTGACTTTTTAAAACACAAATAATCAGGTCTTGGGTTTTCAGTCACATTTAGGAAAGGACAGGCAAAGAAATATCACTAATTTTGTGGAGTTAGAGCTTGCTTAGTGGTTAGACCCTGCAGTGTCCAGACCACTTGAGCAGACACATCTCCCTCTGGTGAAGACTGTACGTCACATCAAATGCTGAGACCCTGTGAAACCTCATAAACTCACAGCTTTACTGTTGCTATCAAACACTGTAACTCAGATGTATTTGGGTGCATCAATCCTCTTCTTAATGTGAATTGCAATTGTAAATGAGAAGATTTAGTATTTAGTAAACTCTATCCTTAATTTTCTACATGTGCATAAACTAAATCTGGAGGAAACAGGTGTTACTTTCACAGTGTACAAACCTGTAAAACAGCCAGAAAGAAAAGCAAGCGGTAAGAGGTATTCATCAAATATTCTAAATGATTTGAAAAGAGATTTGTCTATGTTTGGTTTGTTTGAAAAATCTGGGGCTTCTTTTGTCTCTGTGTTCCCCTGGCAATAATGCTTAAAGGAAACTTTCCCTTTCGCTGAACTCATACTTGAATTGCAAATGGCAGTGAGACTGGCCAAACCAGCCAGTGGGAAGCTTGGGCTGAGTCTTCAGGTAATTCTGGTGCTTTGATGCTGTTTAAAGGGTGACAGTACCTTCAGGCTTCAGGAATATTTAAGTCTTACTGCCATAGTCTGCATTTTAAAAGTGGGTAAGCAAGAAGACGACTAAAAAAAATACTGGCATAGAATCAAAGGTGGCAAGAGATTTCAACAGAAGAGAGTATGTGAATACTCAATGAAAGCATAATAGAGTGATCACTCACAAAACAGGGTTATAGCTAATATATGCCAGCATTTTAATGCTGGTGTCATATGTTACCAGTTGGTAATATCAACCATTTGTTCAACTCCACAAATACAATCCAGAAGGATGCTTGCTCTGACTACTATTTTTAGTCTTGCAGAGAGCACAAGGCTATTAAGAATGGACTGTTAATATAAAAATATTAAGAAAAGCTTTCTTCTGCCTGCTGTTAAAACCAGCAAAAGCTAAACAAGCTATGTTATTACACCCTCATTCCGGAAAGAAAACACACAGCAAGAATATGTCTAAGTCTGGGGATTTGTGAATGTGGCTCCACACCACAGCATTAAGACCTGGAGCCAAATAGGTCATTAGTTACTTACCTTGTTGGAAGAAGACAGCAAAGAGCAAAGAATAGGAAACAAAACAAAACAAAACAAAACAAAACAAAAAAAAAAAAAAAAGAAGGAAAAAGAAGGCAACAAAAATATATACAGAGCATGGGGTACAAAGCTAAAACATTAACTGTAGGACAAAACTCTTCTGAACAAAAATTCAGCTAATCCAACCTACAGCATTTAGCACAGTGGTAAATTAGTAATCATTATTAAAAACAAAAGCTCAGGGAGACAGAAGATATCTCACACTTTTTTGCAAGTGCTTGCAGTTTTTTGACAATACTCCATCACAGACTACATATTGTGAAGTGGACTGTGTGACTTGAGTTATGTTAATCACACAGAAATGTTTTATTCGATTTTCAATCTTACTCTAAGCCACTTCGTGACAGCAAAATTGCAATTATCAACTTCATTTTTTCTTCATTCACTTTAACTTTGAACTGCTCTTCTTTTGTGGTTGCATTTTCCTCCATGCTGAAATTTTTAAATTTGCTAAATGGAAA